AGTGCACATACCTGACTGTGTCACTGGGCAAAGTACAGCCAGGCTTTGGCTTTGTTCTATTTACTTTAAAATGAAAACCTACTTCTCAGTTTCAAAGTGATAGAATTTTCTTTACTAATCTTCTGCTCCATTAGGCATAATTCGAAAGGTTTAGTCTTATTCTTTTGGCCAATTTAAATCAAGGAAGATTCATTTTTTTTAATGTTTTATTAAAGCCAAGATTGCAAATAAACTAATGGTTCTTACCTGATTTCACCCAGTATATCAAACAGATGAAGAAACACAGTTTCAGCATGTGGAAATGGAGAAAAGCAATATGTAATATCCACAGACAAGTGGTAAATTGAGTGTTTCCTCACGCTAGATTTCTAACACAACTGCATGACACTAATGAAGTGAAGAAAGTAAAGCTGTTGTCAAGCTTCTGCAATTCATGACTCCTCCTATTGAATGACTTCAGTAGGTAGGGTGGTTTCCTTAAGGGTTGTGACTGATTTTTAATCTATTTCCCTCTCTGGCTATCAGCAGATTTTCATGTAAGCAATCAATGTTCTATATTACTGACACTACACGCATGGAATTTAGGAAATGGAGTAGCCAGTGGTGCATCACATTAGAGACCCACTGTGTCTCTTTTTTTAAGTGTGTCACTGAACTGCAATCAGGGGCACTGAGATGGGCAAAAGGGACTTAGAACAAAAAGTCATTCTGGTGACAGAAGCATTTTTTCATAAGAACTTGAAAATAATTCTGAGAACTGTATCTCTTTGGATTAATTTTGCACAAAATTGTCTTCTGAGATTTTTGCACAGATTCATTCTCTAATCTAACTTCAGAGAAGGTCTGTGAAAGCCTCTCTGGAAGAGAGATGGAGTCCCACAAATCTCACCTAAACATTGATTTGCTGTGTCTTTTGGCTGTCATTTGACTTTAATCTCTCTGTATCCCAGCAATAAAACAGATGAATAAATATTTATTTTTGTGAAGCTCATTTACTTACAAATCAATTCCCTGGGTAAATACAAGGGGCCAGATTACAGTTTTTTGAAGTTTGTGGTGAGGCAAAGAGGCAGATGAAGTCTGCATTATTCGTATGCAAAAGCTGGATGCTCTAATTATCTGTCCCTAATTATTTCCAGTGCAGGAGAAAGGAAAACATACCATAACCATTCAAATACGGGGCAAATACATCCTAGAAATGTGAGGGTTTTTTTTGCAAAGTGCCTTCTTCACAGTGCTTCTAAACACAGAGTCCGGATCCACTTCCTTTCCTTCCACAACGGTTAAGGGTGTGGGTGTGTATGTGTGTTTCATTACTTAATTTTGAGTGATCGGTCTCTCCAGCTGGCTTTATGAGTCTGAGCAGCTCAGCAGAGCTGTGCTGCACAAGCCTCTGCAGTGCACAGCCTTTAGGGGGTCTCTTCAAGGGCTTTGCTGCTTTGAAGGCAGCCTCAAGGAGAAAAAGATGCAGTATATCTGCTGGTATGAAAATCCACTCAGCTCAACAAGTGATCTCTTATTAAAGTTTTGTTTTAATTTCTCAAATGCGTCACTTTATTTGGAGTAAAGTCCACCACTCCTGTAATTCATTTGTATTTCCTCTTTGTCTCAGATCTCTGGCACTTTGTCAAACCATTACTATAAAAGCACAGCCCTCCTGACACTATGTATCACTTAGAACAATATAGCTATTAAGTACTCAAACTGAAAAAAAATATATAAAAAAAATATTAAAAAATATATAAAAACTTCATTTTATTACAGTCCAAGACTGCTATGACTTACAGGTAGGAGAATGGCCCCCAAATGTTTTTTATAAAATAACAGCTAAAAACATTACAGTGTGGTTTTCAAGATTAAGATCAAATTCTTACACAAACCTTGATATGCTGATCTGTGGTCACATGCAAATAGTATTTCCCCTTCTAATCTTCTCTCTACACCCAAGGATTTCATAGTCTTGGGAAATTCCACTCTCATTTCTCTTACAATTCAAGCCACTTCTACAGAAAAATTCTTCACTAACCACTAGCTTAAGAGAGCTGCTCCCTTTCAGGCAAGAGGAAATCATACCCATCTTTCGCAATGCAGTATGTTTAACTATGAAAATAAGCTGTCTAAGGATTACAAACAGAAAAACTCTGACGTGGTGGAAGAAATGTAAAACTCACCATTTACTCTACACTGAGGCTTGCTATTCCTGTAAATTGATAATCCCTTTCTAAATAGACTCAACAAGTTGGTAACTAATCATCCATTAGAAAATATGGGCACCAAGGCAAAAGACACCATCTACACTTTGGAAAATAAATTATTTAATAATTATTTTTCACATTGTTGTCATCAGGAGGACTACTGAAAATGAACTCCTTTGTAAAATAACACTTAAAAAATATATAATGAATGTTAAATGTGTCCATGTGCTTGAAACCTGTTTGTAACCCACTAGCATGCAGCCGTGGGTTATAAGGCAGGTGTAACTTCAGCTTTAAGGAGAGAAATCACATTCCAGTAATTTTTAATTATTGAGAAATGTACAACATCCAACACTGTACACGTGTATTTTATTAGTAACAATCATAATGCTTTACCATGCTGATGACTGAAACACTTCAGGGCTCTAAAGGTCTCGGAAGCATCTGCCACCCATCCGTACTCCAGCAGCGGCAGCACCCGCCTGCTCCCTAGGGTGGCACTGTGGGAAGCAGTTTCCCAGCCCCGTTTTCACGTGGTTTTGTGGTTTTCTGCTAGTTCTCCACTGCTTGCTTTCAGTTTCACTTGGAGGAGAAGGAAATACCCCGTGGCACACACACTTCTTCCCAGGGCTGTGTTTCTGTGTAATTCACGCTTCCGCTGCTAGGCCTGACAACAACAACATTTTCCTCCTGTCAGCAAGGGAAACCCTGAAATGTAAAATTGAATAGAGTGCCTTAAAATGTTGAAGTCCTCCCACAGGGCTCACACCCACTCACACATCGCTCTTTTCTGACCTATTTCCATATTTGGACTATGTATGTTGTGTGCATTTGGTACCCCACGGAGTGTAGGAATAAGCTGGCCACCTGCTGTGTTGTTCCAAGTTCAAACCTATAAAAACACTGTACCTTATTGGAATGCCTTGCTCCACATTGACTTTAACTTCAGTGCCTATAGTTAGTGCAAAGGCATGCATATCTGCAAGTTTTTTAAACCTGGTTTAACCAATTTTAAATATGCTTATACAATACATAGATGAAGAAATGAAAGGAATGCCATGTTTGGTTCCCTTCATCATGACTGGGCTTCGCGAACGAAGATTTGGGAAAGGTCTCTACCCATGTTTGTCACAAGCACGCTGGTGGCTAAAAAGGCCAATATGAGACAGGCACGTCTGATTGCAAAAGGCACAGCAGAAAGACTCCTTGGGTGGTATATTCTGCAAGGCACGATTCTTTCTGCATGCCTTTTCTCCTCAAGGGTGATCCTGTGTGCTTTCTCAAAAGCATCAGCAGCGTTATAGATAGTGTGTCTCCAGGTCTCCCAGTTGGAGGCCAGAGTAGACCAATTATGATGATCAATATGGCCAAGGCTGAGGTGTTGTTTCAGGGAGTCCTTGTATCTCCTCTTTGGGGCTCCTCTCTTGTGGCAGCCGGTGGCAAGTTCACCATAAAGCAGGATCTTAGGGAGGCAGTGGTCCTTCATCCTGGAGACGTGCCCTGCCCATCGCAGCTGCGTTCTCAATAACATGGCCTCAATACTTGTGACTGCTGCTTGCTCTAGAACAGATGTATTGGTCACATAATCTGACCAGTGGATGTTTAGGATTGTGCGGAGACAGCGTTGATGGAACCGTTCTAGGAGACGCAGGTGGTGGCGGTAGATGACCCATGATTCAGATCCATATAAAAGAGTAGACAGTAGTAGACACTATGGCTCTGTAAACACTGATCTTTGTACTTTTCTTCAAGTGTTTATTACACCATACCCTTTTATGTAATAAAAGGCACTATATGCCTGTAATAAAGGCACTATATGCCTTTGCTAACCTGTTGTCTATCTCTCCGTCAATCTGACTCATCCAAGGAGATGAGTCTACCTTTGGTTACCTTACACAAGGAACAACTGGCAGTTTAATCCTAAATCAGATAATGTCTCTGTTCTAACTTTGCCATGAAATAATTGTCTCCTTTTTCCAACTATGCCAGTTGTAATAAAATAGATCAGTTTTATTTGCAAACATTCTGTGCTATTTTATAGTTTGTCAGTCTTTTAATTGTATTAGCCTTAATGTATGAACAATTAAACTCTTCAGAATTTCCTCTTCACAGAGTTAACAACTCAAGTTTCTGTTTCTCTAGATGTACCTTTTTTAGCACAACAGCACACAGTACAGAGTCCATTGAGTCAACAATTTATTTATTATCAGATGACTCAACAAATGCCTTCCAATTTATCCTCTTCCCCGTATCAGAATCAAGCTGCAAATGTTAAGACTTCATAGATTCCCCCTGAATTGGCCCTTCCACATTCAAGTGAATGTGAAGTGCACCTGTTCAATGAAAGACCCTCTGAAAGAATAAGAAAATGGCTAAATTGTGACAATGACATTAGTACTGAAGATAACAAAAGGAGACAAAAAGAGGATGGCCAAAACCACAAGGAGTGCTAAGCCAAGAAAAAGACACACTAATACTGGATAACTGGACTCATCCTTTTTGTTTTCTATTTTTATTTGAGGGAAATGTTCATCTTTGAAAGTTTATTAAAAAAGGAATGTTAAAGTTTCATATTGTTTTTGAAATGTGTTATGCATAGAATCATAGAATATGCTGAGTTGGAAGGGACCCATCAGGATTATTGAGTCCAGCTCCTGGCCCTGTACAGGACAACAGAATCCCACCCTGTGCCTGAGAGCGTTGTCCAAACGCTCCTTTAACTCTGCCAGGCTTGGTGCTGTGACCACTTCCCTGGAAAGCCTGTTCCAGTGCTCAACCATCCTCTTGGCACAGAACCTTTTCCTAGTATCCAGCCTAAACCTCCAATGACACAGCTCCATACCATTCCCTCGGGTGCTGTCAGAGGTCACCAGGGCCCAGTAAGGAGGGGTTTTATGCGTTCAATGACAAGACGCTTGGGCTGGAATCCCGGCCGCGGGACTGGATGATGCCGATGCTGATGCCGAGCCAGCGGCAGCCACGCCCTCCCCGCTCTCTCCTTTTCTCCTCTGGCGGGTGGGGCTGCTGCTGTCAGATCCGGGGCGGCTGTGGGAGCTATGGCAGCCTCCCGAGGGAACCAGGGCGTCTCCTACGAGCGGCTGAGCCCCACGGGCACGGAGGTGACAGGGCTGGCGCGGAGTCCAGGCGGGGAGGGGGGTCCAGGCGGGGAGGGGGTTCTCGGCGCTGCGGGGGACCCCGAGCGGCCACCGCCTCCCACGGCCGCTTCGAACCCGCTGGGATCTTGGGTGGGATTCCTGCCGGGGCTGTGCCCAGAAAACGCAGCTGATGCGTCCCGGGGGGTGTGTCCTTTGGATGGAGCTCTGCCACAGATAGGAACAGGCGCAGGATTTAAGCAGGGAATGCTTGTGACCAGGGCTTGCACTGTGTAAACACTCGGTGCAAACCGAAACCAGCAGATTCGTGTTTGTCGGAGGCGGACTCGTTGTCGCGTGCTTTTTTTCTCGGGTTACCGTGTAATCATTCGGCTTTTTACTGAAAGCACAAGAAGAATTTTTGTGGAAAGCGCCAGAGGAGCCCCGGGCAGCTCCCAGTTGTGTCGGTGGGCGTCCCACGGCACCTGCCCGAAAGGGCTGCACCTGCGTCCTTGGTCAGGAATTGTTTAAGGGGGTAATTGCCGAGAGACAGACTTTACTGCCTGGGTGTGCTGGAGTCATTCCTGGGTGTGGATAAACATTACTCAGGAAATACGGGAGAGTTCGTATTTGCTTGCCTTTGTTACACTTATCTCCAGCTCACTATGAAATTGGCAGCAGTGCACAAGGCTCATACTCTTCTCATTTATGGGTACATGTTAGCAGTGCGTCATCTCTTAGGGTCTGAAAGGAGCCTGCTGTCCTTTAGGTTTTAGCAGTTGATAGCTATTAATAGCTATGTTTTCAAATGGGGGGAAAAAAACCCCCACAGGATTTTAACCATAAAGATTTAGGGAAGGTTTGCTTGTTTCACACTCGGGATGGAACAACGTGTCAGGTTGGAAGAGACCCATAAGGATCATCAAGTTGGAAGGGACCCATAAGGATCATCAAGTTGGAAGGGACCCATAAGGATCATCAAGTCCAGCTCCTGCGCTTTACTGTTAGTGTGATGTTACTCTAGGATATGTATGAGATCAAGCTAAAGTGGTGGCTAATATCCTCTTACAGCCAGTTAATTTGTGTTAATTCGTGAGACTGTAGATGTCTTCATACCTTGTGTTAGAGTGTATTGGTGCAAGAAGGTGACAGGAAAAAAAAGTGTATGTACAGGCCTTATTATAGGTCGGAATTAAATATCTTCTGAAAACTACGTGTTTAGTAAAGAAATAAAAAAAAAAACCCACCTTTTTCTTCATTCTTTCAAGCATCATTGATACTTTTTCCCATGTTCTTTTTTTAAACAGAAATACAACACTGAAGAGAATGTTTTTTTCTTCAGTAAATTAACATATTCCTGGTTTAGCAGGTGAGAATTTAATAAACTGCTTGTTGCTGTTCATTGATGCTCAGACAACTGCAGACTGTGCCCTTACTTTCCACAATATCATTCGGTCTTGAGCCTGAGATTGCTGTTAGTTTTCAAAATATGTTTTAAATAATGACATTAGATAATGTATAAAATGACTGTTACTATGTATAAACAATATAGATTTGAATATGACCTCTACATGTTGTCAACTTTGATTTTTGTACAAAAATCTAAGTGCATTGTTCTTGTCATAACAGATAATACTTTTAGACAATGGGATATAAAAGGCCAGATTAAGCTATCCTTCTTTATTTGTTATCCTTTTTTATTTATTACCTGTCTGTGTAAAGTATGGCAGTATACAAATAAAATTTCCTTTTATACTCCATGTGGTGATACAACTATCTAGATCTCCAGAAACAAATATTCAGTAGTGCACGTAAGGTGTTTTCCAAGTAGCCAGTTTCATGCTCATTTTCCTCCCTCTTTTATGGCAGGTTGCAAGTTATAGCTGTAGCTCACCTGCTCACATAAAATAGGAAGTCTCTCTGCTTCCTAGGAAATTTTCCACCAAAAAATAGGAACTGAAAGCTCAACTCTATCAAATCACACAGCTTCCTGTCACTTAATATTTTGAGTGTTATTTCAAACAATTTCGTGTGTTATGTTTTGTGACTGTTACTAATTTTTAACATTTTTTTTTCTTGGAAAATGACTTGAGTCAGACATGCACACTTCAAAAATCTAAAAGTGGGAAAAAACATATTTCTTGCTTTATTCAACATTCGTAATTTTAAGGAAAAACTGAAAATTATATTTGCTGTTAATAAGATGAGACAAAACATCAGATTGTTTCAAGGATTCAGAGTATTCACTTGAACTCTGGCCTTGTTGAAGTTATAGGAGTTCACCTTTGTATTTATGGTGTAGCATGTAAGAATTGGTGAAAAACAAATTTTCAGTTTTTCTAAGAAGTTGTGCAGCTTACTGAGTGCTTCTATATGACATTTATGTGTTCTTTATATTACAGTGTTTGCCCAAATTTTCAAGCTAGGCTGTCCTTTGTATATTTTAACCAATTTCACAATGTTTAAGAAAAGAAGAGAAGAAAAAAAAATAGAAAAGGATTTTAGTTATTTAGCTATAAAGTATCTAGTTGCAGTTAAATTCATATTGTGAACAGTAGATATGTTCCCTCTTAAACAGGATAAATTATGGCTCATATGTTCTCACCTTAAGTGCTTGCAATCAAAATGAGGAAGTCTAAAATTTATTGTTGCATAATAAACCTGTAATCCTATATTATGTTTCTTTAGAAATCAGGCAATCTGAAGGTTATGGTTTAGTAGGTCTGTTTATCCTCTGGCAGCAACGAGTTTTAGAATTGAGATGCATTATGCAGAATTCTTGATCAACAGTTCCCACTTGAGTACCAATCAGTCTGCTTCCCTCACCTGTCTCAAAAGCTGGTTCTTTTAGTGGGAGACTGTGTTAATTTTTGCCTTAATTTATCATGCTTAAGGCAAATTCACTTTGTATTAAGGTTACATCTTCAGTAGACGTTTGCGTGGCCCCTGGGGTTAGTGAGGTCCACCCCCACCACAATTTCTCAACCTCCAAAAAAGCATTTCTGAGTCTTGTTTTGTGTCCTGTGATAAGCACAGTAGCACACACAGTAGCCCCAAGGCCAGCTCTGACACGGAGGGGCACAGGAATGATGCACACTGGGAGGGCACACGTGAGGAGATGGACACTGCTTGTGTTGCAGCCTTCAGAGAGGGAGATCCTCACCGGCTGGAAAGCATGAGAGCTGCCACTGACATTCTTAAGACCAGTTTTAGTTTTTGTTGACACTTAAGTGATTAAGAGCACTTTGTTAAAACAAAATTTCAGCAGCTCTTGAAGGTCTGCTGTAAGGAAACTTCCACTGTACTTGTGCTGAAACTCAGTAGTTTAATGTTGTTACCTTGCTTAAAGAGGAGTCACAGCAAGAGTCACCATCCCTGGAGGTATTCAAAAGATGTGTAGACGTGGCACTTAGAGATATCCTTTAATGGTAGACTTGGTGCTGTTAGGTTGACTGTGAAGATCATCTTAGGGTTTTTTCCAGCCTGAAGGATCCTGGAATTCAGTGATGACGCACTCCTGTGATAGAAATGGCATTTCATTCCAGATCAGAATAGTAAGTGGAGAATGATACTACACGTCTGCTTATGAAGTAGTGTATTTTTCTGTAAAGAAATACAGGATCAGAAATGTAGGCAGATTCTGAGGTAAAAAGGTTCAGATGTGACAATCTGCTTGGGTTCTCCTTAGTTCAGATGAATTTCAGTGTATTGAAGGTAACTGTAAATATGTTCCACTATTTAGCCTGTGGCTTTTATAGGATTGCATATAGTATTTTAATTATAGAGTTTATTTATATACACAAAATTATATAATTATCTTTTTGAATTATTAGTTCTGCTTGTTTTGCCTGTTGTATTTCAAGCTATCTAAATTAACTGCTTTCTTTCAGAGTGATATCTACAGGCTACAAGAAGCCATTGGAAAGGGAGGACCTGTTTGAACTCAATGAAAGTGATTCCCCATACAGTGTGTGTCCTAAGTTTGAAAAGCAATGGAGAAAAGAAATCCAGAAGTCTACCACAGGATTAATGGTACCTATAATTCTGACAATAGGCAATATCTTTTTCCAAAGTTAACGAGTCTGGAAGCTGGAGAAGATTTCAAAAATCTTATTTATTGAACAGCCTACATTTTGTAGGGCACAGAGGCCCCTCGGTGTTGGGATCAGTGATCTCTAGTGTGGCTGTAGAATTTTCAAACCTACCTCTTAGAATGATATCCTGTTACATTTCAACATTTCAAGTGATGAGGAATCTACTGTGACTGGAATGTACAGTGACTTTTATTCGTTGATGAATTCCTGTATTAGCAAACTGTCCAACTCATTTCTCTCTGAACTTCTCTGTTTCCCTAGGTCTTATCTTTGCATCTGTATTTCAGATAGCAGAAGAGTCTATGAGCAGCTTGTTTATTTCTAGACACTGGCTTACAGAACACACAAACCAGGCTTCAGTTTTCTTTAATTTCAACAATATTGAGTTTTACAGATATTTACATTATTATGTAAATCCTTGACAGTTTCAGTCACAGTTACTATTTTGTTGTTGTAGTTCCAATGCAGTTCCAGTGTAGTTCCAAGCTCTGTAATGTTAGGAAGTTTATCCATGATGAGGACCTCACCTGTAAGTCCAGTAAGAGTGTGGCTTTTGCTTTTTTACTGATGAGTCCTGCAGAGTCTCATCTTACTGCATCTCATCGGTGTTTTTCTTAGCTATTTGTGCATTTGTCCTTCTTTCCACTGATGATATAAATCCCCAAACCCTTTCTACTGGAGCATTCAAAAGTATTTGCCAATAAGGATAATTTTAAATTCAGAAACTGTTTTTATTATCTGAGTAATCTGAAAAAAAAAATCCTGTTATCATTATTATGGTGTTAGATGGACACTTTAATATTACATATTTTATATTGTAATGTGAGTGAAGTTCAAAAATACTTTTTCTCTTAATTCTGTATATGTTTTTGTAATCTTGCAGGCTTCTTACATCCAAAGAATGCTATTGAAGAAAACAGGTTTCCATAAACCGTCTTTGATTTTGCCATTATGGCAAACATTTAAATATTTATTCATTCAAGCTGCATTTCTGAAAGTTGCAGCTGACGTTCTGGCTTTTATGAGTCCACAAATAATGAAGTGAGTTTTTCATGTGTCTTACTTTATTTTCAAAGAGCAACAGTAATAATAAAGTTAAAGGGTTACCAGTATCAAAACCAAACTAAGCAACAGCTTAGATGTGTAAAGATTTTATCTTCCCCCTCCATAATTACCTAAAAATGATTTAACGGGGGAAAGGTCAAAGCAATCAGAAATTTTATAGCTAAAGAAGAGACAAAACCAACAGAAGTTCCACAATATTGTATGTAAGTAGTTTGTATGCATAAGTAAAAAATCAAGGGACTACAAGTATACCAAACTTTCCTGCTTTTTTGTCATTGTTTTTCCACCTCTACTTTTAAAAAAACTCAAATATATAAATATATAGAGAGCTTCAGCATTTAATGAAAACTGCAATTATTCTACTATCATATTGTTTGTACCATGAAGATCCAGTGAGATTGGTACCAAGTGGTTTTTAGAAATTGTGCTTACCACAGAGGTGTTAAGAATTGATCAAACACTTGGGTGTTTATAAAGAAAAGACTTAATGAACAGAATTATCATTAACCTTCAAACTATACCCTGAATCGGTGTAATCGTGAACAAAATGGTTGACTATAAAATCTGTTTGAAGATATCATGGTCGATGGTTATTTAAAATAATCTTTTAGTAACACAAAAATTGGAATTTTCCTCTAGAGTTTTTTTCTATCTCACTTTCATGTTTGGTAGTCGCAACCTTTCCAAGTACAAATATCTAATTATTTTTTTCCTTTTTTTTTCTTTTATGAAATTATTTTCTTTTATTCTTTGTTTATACTCCATTTTCGGAGAAGTTAGCAATAGCACATGTCTAGATTTATATTTGAGAATTGCTTCTAAGCTAACAAATTGAAAAACACAGATAAAACCTGCCATTTATATCATATTTTGTTGTGACCTTCCACCATATCTGAACCCAAAATAGCCTCAATTAAACAAGTTACCAGTATCTCAGTTTACTCTTTTTATTGTTGGTTGTTGACTTAATGGGCAGAATTTAATTTTCTTTCATTTTCAGAGCAATGATAATGGCCAGTGAAAGTCAGCCTAGCTCGTGTTGGAGGGGTTGTGGCTATGCTGTTGCCCTGTTTTTTGTAGTTCTCTCTCAAACTCTTCTCCGTCAGTTATACCAACGTAACAACATACTTACTGCAGTCAGGATCAAGACTGCAGTTGTTGGCCTGATATACAAAAAGGTAATCATGTGTTCTTCTACCTCTCTTTCAAAACAAAACCTAAAACATACCCATAGTCTTCAAAGACAGCGTGCTTACCAGCCTGATCAAAACACAGGATGCGATACACTTGGTGACAGGATAACAGACTGAGGTTATTTTTTCATGGTTGTTTATTTATAATAATTTGGAATTGCAGCGGCATTTCTGTTGTAAGACTCTGATCCTGAAATTACATACTTTTTGTCAGCTACGTGTACAGACATGATATTGGAGATAGATGTAGAAACTGCATTCTATTTTGGTTATGGGTTAATTTCCCAAATTTTCTCAATGACATGAGCAAACTGTTTAGGTTGGATGTCTGGGAAAAAGTAAAGGTCTAAATGATCACGGTTGTTGCTATATAGTAGCAGTGAATATGAGAAGGTGAACTTTGACACTCTGTCTCCTTTCAAGGTTACAATTTCCGCTGATTTTAGTGAAATTGTTTTTGAGTTGAATACCCAGTAGTTTCATTGGTTTACAGATGTTTCCACCACTGTGGAAATCTATCTGTAGCTTAATCCACTGAGCATTAGCTGATTTAATAAGATACAGAGCGTTACCTACAAGAGATGCAAATGCAGAAGTAAAAGACGTTGTCTGATCTGCTAAACTTAAAAACATTTATTGTCCTGTTATTACGAAGGATTTGAGATAAGGCTGGTTTCTCAGGGCCACACCTTTAGTTTATTTTGTTATAAACATGGTACGTGGGTATTTTTACTCCAGTATTTAACTATTAAGCATAAGTTAAGGAAAGAAATAACCAAAATCTGAGCTAAATTACTGTCTTTGTTAATTTAAAATACAGTCTCTTTTTGAAGAGTCAAACTGATTTTTTGACATAGGCTGCTCAGGTATTTTCTGAACCAGTACGCAGAATTTTACTGATGACTTGCAAATGAGTGCAATAAAGGAGTTAATTCTCTCCTGTCACATTCAAGGTGGGTCAGTGCATCAGGTCATGGGCAGGAGAATAGAGACTTCAGTTGGAGTAGGCATATCTTCTGGGAAGTTTTCTCACAGAGTAGAGATACAGCCTCTTCCTCTTTCTGAGTAGAGCTGATTAGTGAATGTCAGGTCAGGGCTGTATTTGACACATGGGGTGGGTGGTGGAGTGAGCTGCTGCAGCACCGTCTTGTTGCATGCAGGAGTTGGAGGTGAGACAGTGGAAAAATGTGAGGCATTAACAGGGAGTGAGAGCATGTGTGTGTGAGTTTATCTGGGTGTCAGTCCCGAGACACAGGGGGCTTGTGATCTGCCTACCACGCTGGAATGATACCTGTGCTTGCTGTGAAGCCTGTTGATGCTGGTGCCTGTACTGGGAGATTTTAAGCCAGGCCAAAGCTGAGGCTTTCTGAGCCCTCTTTTGGCCGTGGTGCTATAAAGAGTTACAAGTCTGTTTCACCAAATTCAGCTTTGCTCCAGTTATTGTCCTCTTAGCAATGTGACCTCTGTATTTTCCGGTTGCAGGCCTTAACTTTAGCAAATTCCTCACGACAAAACTATACAACTGGGCAAATTGTTAACCTGATGTCAGCAGATGCTCAGCAGCTCCTGGAGATGGCTGTCACCATGAACCAGTTGTGGTCAGTACCTTTTCAGATCATCGTGGCTGTCGTCTTCCTCTGGAAGGAACTTGGCCCCTCAGTCCTGGCAGGTGTTGCACTGCTGTTTTTGGTTATACCTGTAAATGTGCACATTGCAGCCAAAGTTAGAAGGCTGAAGGTGAGATATTTGAATAAGCACCGTAATTAAGTTGTCATAAAACGGTATTAGAATAGTATTGGTACGTCTAAGCTAACCTGCAGACAAATAAACTGTGCCAAGCTGCAGCTCCTTTTCAGTGAGGGGGGCGAAGTGTAGCTGCAGAAGCCAAGCCATATGTTTGATAGCTAAACCGGTGTGTAGGTTGGATACCTAAATTTTCATTATTCTGAAACAACACTTTTGTATTACTAAAAAATCACTGTATGCCTCAATGTAGGAGACAGCTATGGGTTTTTTTAAATATTACATGAGTTAATTCCATTCAGTAAGGGATTTTGTAGGATTATGGCCCTCTTCAACTTTTATTATTCGGACTAAGCTGCTCAGTAAAAATTTAGCATGTTCTCCTGAGGTTATGGGAATTCCCCTGGAGGTACTGTGTGTGTTCTGACTTCTTTTATGCTTCTCTGATGCTACAGATCTCTTGGCACTGTATTGCCTGTTACTATTACAATTTCTGTGAGCTCCACTGGAATAAATACTACAGCCTTAAGTTTTGCATTGCTTTCAAGGCAATTAGTTGTCTTATTCTGCCTCTGATGGTGTAACATGCAATGAAGACTATCCCTATTAATTCTTTTTTAAGGCTGTGACAGTTTAGAGACATTGAAAAAGAAAAAAAAAACCCTCTCACCTCTTTTGCAGGTGAGGTGCAGCAGCTGCATATGTACTTAGATCCCTACTGTGACATGAGAGAGAGAGGAAATACAAAGGACAATAAAATCATTCTGTCTCAAAGTTTTCAACTTATTATGTATGAATAAGACTCCAAACAGTAAAGAGGCTGTTAATGAGTATTTTTGAAATGTCAGATGCAGAAGAGCCTGAGTGTAGCATAAGAATGAGAAGGATTTCTGGGTTTTTGTTTCTTTTAATAACAATGTATTACTGAGTAACAGAGGAAATTTTCTTCCTAATTCATGTATATATACATATATATGTATGCAGTGTTTTATATTCATATGGTGTTGCATAGATATTCATGTGTGTGTGTGTATTTAGTGTTACACTATGTTACTATTGAGTCTGTATTTACCTGCTTAGCAATTTTGAAGATTAAAAAATATTACCATTCATGAACACCCTGGGAACTGCAAGCCTATTAAGATTTTAATTCAATGGAAAGAAAAATAAACTGGACAAGAATTGAAATGTGCGTTTAAGCTATTTTAGGGTAAAATCGTTATTTTAATGTATTTAACCCCATCTAATTTTTTTTTACCATATCTATCTGAAACTGGTATAACTGCAGTGCTAATGTGTTTTTCAGCAAGGTAAAAATAGCATAAAAGTGTCTTCAGTGTACTGCATATTTTACTTTCCAAATGCATTTGTTTTTTCAAAAATGAAAACATTACTGTCTTTTAACCAGAAAAGCCAAATGAAGTATTCAGATCAACAAGTCAAGCTACTAACTGAAATATTACATGGAATAAAGGTAATGACACAACTAATAAGAGGTTTGGTTTTTTTTTTTTTTTTAGTTAGGTTGTAAATGTAGTAACTTGTTTTAAAAACTTAGGTTTTATGAGTAATGTTTCAGCAAACAATGGTAAAAGGTTAAAGAGAAAATATTTTAACATAATGTGCTTAAAAGGTTTTTGGAAAATATTTACTGGTTTAATTTGATTTGAAAAACTCACTATCCATAATGCATTCATTTTAGTACCACATTTTTAATGAAAAAAATATGTTAATAGATGTCTTAAAATACTTAGCAGAGTGGGATTGTAGCATAGAAGAAAAGCACTTTTAAAAGTTGTCCTATTTTTGTTATTTATCCTGTTTTGAAACCAGCTCATCCTTTATGATACATAAGGGACACTTTGAAATCTGAAGAATTAAGAGTGATTAAAGTATATTTCCCATAAGAACAACCTAATTTAAAATTATGTCTGGTTCTGATTTTCTTTGTAAAACATTCACATTTTTCTAGTTTGTCATTGCTGAATATTTGAAAATGACACTTGGAGATTAGGTTAATTTTTGAAGCCTGGTCGCTACTTTTTTGTTTTATTAAAATATGTCTGTTTGATTGTCTAGATCCTGAAACTTTATGCATGGGAACCTGCCTATCAAAGGAAGATCTTGAGCATTAGGGAACGTGAAATGGATGTTCTGAAGTCATCTGGATATCTGACAGCTTACTCCATGCTGACCTTGACATGTATTCCTTTTATGGTTGGTTTTATTAAAATATTAATTCGTGCAGGACTGTTTCTCAAGTTCCCTGTTGCTTTAGTAGCTGACTGACCCACAAATGTTGCCTCCCAATACCTCAAAACATTAAATTTTCAACACAATATAATTGATTCCCAGGTTATGATAGTATGTATATGACTAGAGAAGAAGGAGAGAGATTATGAATTGACCAAGGTTTTAAAGATCTCCGTTAGTAAGTCAGAAACCAAATCCAAATCTTCTGAATCTCTTGTCGCTGTTTTAATTATACTGTTTCTGTTGCATAGAACTCAACTCTCTCTGAGTTTTAAGGGAATGTATTTTCTGTATTTTTTAGCTATCCCCTCTCGAATACTAAAACTCTTAATACATGAAAAAGAAAAAAAAAAAACAACCACAAAAATATGAACCAAATTCATCCTAGCCTTGTTTCAGTGGAATTCTATCAGGAGTGCATTCAGATCTTTGGATCCCTCTGTTAAACTCTATTGGAAAGTAAATGGAGACTTCAGGGCCTTGGGATGACTGATTAAGGGATCAGGAGCACAGTGTTCTCCTCTGTCCTCCCAGTTGCAAGGAATGATAAGGGAAGAAGCAGGATGAGCAAGCTCCAAGCCTAGTGTCACCAGCAGAATTTTGGATTTTTGGATTGTGGTTTGATCTATACAACAGCAGGCCTACTGGCAACAGATGGGGTGCACGTGTCTCAAAGCAGGGAAGGATCTTTGTACAGGAGTTAGAGGGGATCACTGAGAGGGCTTTAAACTAGATTTGAAAGGGAAAAGGGATAAAACCAGGCTCACTAGATAATCTCCACGGGAATGCTGTGGGTAACGGTGTCAAAGGCTTTGCTGAAAGAAGGAATTCCTAAAGGTGCAGGAGCAGGACATCCTCATGTACTGAAAAATGAGCTGTAGAGAGGAGGCTGACCTGGCTGAACAGAGAGCTTTGGAAGAAGGCTCAGGCAACTCAGGAGGACTGGAAAGATGTCATGAGGTTGTGCAGGGAGAAAATAAGAAGGCCCAAGACCCGGCTAGAACTTATTTGTCTACTACTGTAAAAGACAATAAAAAGTGTTTCTATAAATAGATCAACAACAAAAGGAGGGCTATAGAGAATCTCCACCCTTTGTTGGATGGGAAAGAAACTTAGTGACAAAGACTGAGGAAAGACTTAGGTAAATTTACTGTCTTCTTTTCCTCAGTCTTCAACAGTGTAAGACCAGTTGTGCTTCAGGTACCCAGGCCCCTGAGCTGGGATACAGGGACAGGGAGCAGAATGAAGCCCCCATAATCCAAGGGGAAATGGTCAGTAACCTGCTACATCACTTAGACACTCCCAGGTCTGTGGGGCTGGATGGGATCCACCCAAGGGTACTGAGGGCCCTTGGAAGTGCTCAAATATGACACCCATTTACAAGAAGGGTCGGAAGAAGGGTCTGGGGAGCTACAGGCCAGTCAGCCTGACCTTGGTGCTGGGGTAGGTCATGGAGTTGATCATCTTGAGTGCAGGGCAACCAGGGGATTAGGCCAAGCCAGGACGGCACCCTGAGATGGGAAAGTTGTTTCATGTAGTTTAATGTGTGTCTGATTGGGTCAAACCCAGTAACCATGTTTTTAGTTTACTAAAATTGTAGTATTTCTGCACTCAGAATTGCAGCTATGCATTAACTTCTGTGTGCAGCAGTTACAGAGTCCGTGTTTATACACGAGCAGAAATGGGATCTTCTAAATGAAAACAAAACCAGTATCTGTGTGTACATTTTAGTTGTAATGTGATTTTGCTTCTTAATATATCGTTTTCATATTTTTATTGAAAAGGTCTTACTGGCTACATTTGGAGCCTACTTTCATCTGGACAAAGAGAACGTTTTAACAGCAGCTAAAGTGTTTACATCTATTTCTTTATTCAACATTTTGCGACAGCCTTTGTTTGAATTACCCTCTGTGATCTCTGCTGTGGCCCAGGTAAGTGCTGTAAAAGGCTAATTTTGTATTCTCTCATGTTTCAGCCATTTCTAGGAGCGATGAAGTAACTTAATTATTTTAAGTTACATTTTATTGAGGTGAAACTGCACAGTATTTTTATAGAATGCAAAGCGTGAAGGCTGTTTAAAGGATGTCTCTCATTCTTTTAAGTACAATGAAAATTGGGTAGCACACCTAATCGTGACTGAGCTTTCTGTTTCTTGCTTTCCTTCCTTCAGTGGACTAGACTCAACTTCTGCTCCTACTCTCTCAGCTTCTCTTCCTCATAGAAGATAAAATGTGAACAATTTGAGCTGCACTTGGTTAAATCACTGAGCCACTGTTGTATATTGGAGCCCTTGGTACCAAGTAGGGGAGACCCATTGTGGACTCTACTGTTCTGGTTTTGTCAAGTCACCACTGAAGAAAGTGGAGAAAAAAGGAGTAGAGCTGCTGAGGATCCCATATCAGCAACCTTCAGGCCTAATGGTACACCAGTAGTGTTGCCACCTGAGTTGGGAACTTCTAGCTTTTAATACTCTGTTATTTATTATGGGTGTATCTCATGAGCTGCTCAGGAATGTACTAGGTCACAGCTTGTACACAGCTCCGCCTTTTTAAGGGAGGGGACCACTGGGAGCAGTTACTCATCCTGATTTGATTTCATTTATGATTAGCCTTTTACTTTCCCAGTTGGTTAACTTCTAGTAGCTTAAAAATAAGCACAAGCCTAAGTTAATGTCACTTTGTCACAGCAGTGATGGACATCTCATGATGCACTCCCAGTAAAATGTCTTTCTTCATTCTGTGGAGAGACTTCCTGTGCACTGTTTCTTAACAAAAAAAAAAAAAAAAGCTAAACCACAGGTTTATGCAAACAAACTAATTGAGTCAGAGGAACTGGACATTCAAGGATTAAATGTATCTTCAAACACTGCCTTATTGATCACTTTAGATTCTTTAGTACTTTAAGGAAAATGTTTTTGAAATACCTAAACACCATTTTTGTCTGTCATTAAATAAGATGAGGAGTCTGTCTTTCCATATTATCTAGAACTTTTAAAATATTATTTAAAAATATAGGGATCACAGACATAATATAAATATTGTATATATGTTCATTTTGTAGACCAGAGTTTCCCTGAGCCGTTTAGAGGATTTTCTGTTTGCTGAGGATCTTAACCCTGAGGATGTCAGTACAAACTACAGTGGAAGTAAGCAGTAATTAATTTTCAATTGGTCATGATTTTATATGGAAGATTACTAAGAAACTCAACTGAGGGGATGGATTAGCAAGTCTTTGCTCTATTTTCTTTGCTGCAACAGATCATGCTGTTGGTTTTACTGATGCTTCTTTCTGCTGGGAGAAAAATGGCCTGCCAATCTTGAAAAAGTAAGGTATTTTTTACTTATTTTTACGAGCTCCTTTGGCAGAATGTGGTGTCTGTAGAGATTTTGGTCAGGTTAAATGTATTCTGATTCAGATTAATTCATGATGTTACATACCAAAAAGAACATAAATTATTGTTTTCAGAGTTTCCCACATGATCAGTGTGCTCTGGAAAGTCAAATCTGACCTAGTCTCCCTGATGCTCCCAGAGGAACCTCATGAAAGTGCATGTTCCCCAACACTGAACACCCCTCATTTTTTTTGGTCATTTCTTAACAAGGTATTTCTTAGGTGTAAATTCAGCTATGCCTAAACTGCTATGCAATGAACACATTGGAGGATTAGTAAGGACATGGCATAACCAAACCCTGGGGTGGAATGGATAACCTATTTGATAAATACAGCTGTTTAATGTTACTAAAAGTTGATAAGTACAGCTGTTAAATGTTACTAAGGAGCTGAAGAGGTTAAAACCCACACAGTCTAACCATCTCACCACACTGTCTGCCCTGTTCCTCTCAGGGTTGGGGCATTGAGTGTCCACATCTCAGCCACCAAAGCCTTCAGTATAGTGTCCAGTCATGACCTGCCTTCAGCATCATATACAGACTTCATTGAGGTCTGGTACAGTCTCTGGGTACAGTCTTTCTCTACCTCATTTGTGTTTCCAGCTCTAGTCTGAAAGGACTGTGCTTACTGTAGCATAACGCCTTCAAATCAGAGCACACTTGGATCCAAAGAGTACAGGTACTGCATCTTGTATGGTAAAGTTTATGGTTTTTTGACAGCAAAATACACTGATTCTGAAGGGCAGCCTTTATTCACCCAAACAGCTATTTTTTTTTCCCTGAGAGGGATCACATACTGGCTACAGTAGATTCTACATGAGAGATCCAACAGTTGATCGTCAGCGTAAGGTGGAATGTGAACCACAGGCCTGAGAAGAATACAGTAAGACCACTTACTGTTTAGGCTGTCTCCCGTTTGATTTAATTGTGACCAGATGAAAGCACAACCTCTAACTTGAGGCAAATAAATTTATCCTTAAAGTCATCAGTACAGTTCTCGAAATGGTACATAGTAAAAAGATGTGCAAACTAAAGTACTAATTTCTCATAGTTCTAAGGGTAATACAGTCTTTCTTTCTTACGATGGCTACAACCCATCCATGATGGAGTATTTACAGAGGGGATAACTAATTTTTCTTCCTCAATATTTCCAGCTTGAGTGTCAAGATTCCTGAAGGCTCTTTAGTTGCTGTTGTGGGACAGGTTGGATCAGGGAAGTCATCTTTTCTTTCTGCTGTTCTTGGAGAAATGGAGAAACTTGAAGGAACAGTTCAGAGAAGAGTAAGACTGTCTGTCTGTGTCCCCCTGCCCTGCACACTCCTCAATACCTAAATTAAGGAGAACTAATTAATAGATTTTCAGAGGGCATGTAGCTTAATGTAAAAAAATATTTCAGAGCATTTCCAGTTATGGTTCCTATCCCTTAATCTTAAATTTTAAAGCTGACGTGTTCCACAGCATGTTATATAAAAATACAAACAATCAAACTGTATTTTGATTTCTACTTAACACAGATGTATTTTGCTGCATATAAATATTACAATGGATGCTTGTTTGTCACTCTGATCTTTCCCTGGAACACTTTACTCCACATATGTCCCAGCTCTGTCTGTTTTATTTGAAGTCATATGGGTTTTTGTAATAATGATAGGCGAGCTGTCATACAAGAATATTCAACAGATTGCTTTTATTATCTGACTTAATAAAAATTTTAACAGTTTAATAATGCTCAAGTTTTGGAAGGAATTTCTGGTTACTTTGAGGCAAAGCTAGAATTTCAAATTTATTTTTAAATGCTATTTTGTATGTTCACACAACTCAAATAAAAAAAATTGTTTCCAATTCTTTTTAGGGTTCAGTGGCTTATGTTTCTCAGCAAGCTTGGATTCAAAATGACACTTTACAGGAAAATATTCTCTTTGGTGCAGATCTAAACAGGCCATATTACAACCTTGTTTTAGAGTCTTGTGCTTTACTGCCAGATTTGGAACAGTTACCGGATGGAGACCAAACAGAGATTGGAGAAAGGGTGAGAATTTGAGGTGTCAGAAATAATGCAGTAAGAGAAGTTATGGCTTTATGGTTTTTATATATTATTTGTTGGATAATTAACAGTAATGACTAATCAGTACTCAACCAAGTGCATCTTGCCCATCTCCTTACTTAGCTAACTTACTTTGAACTTCTGTTGAAGCTCTGAACTCTTATTAATTTTTAAAATGGCTCTTTTCTATACAGATGTTTGTGTCAGCCCTGTCCTGTTTTCTGGGGGTTTCCCCCATGCTGTAAAATGTCTGTATGACTAAATAAAAGTTACTGTTTAATTTTCCAAAGTCCCTTGCATTTGCCCATTTTGGAGTGGGAATAATCAACAGAGCCCAAACTTTGCTCTAATAATTTGAAAATCCAAATGTTGCCTTTCTGTTTTCATATGTAGTATAAAATCTACTTTGCTTACCTGAGAAAAATAGAGAGATGAGACTGAGTATGATACACTGGTCTTCTTTAGTATTTCATATTTAAATGTGGATTATTTTGACTTTGCTTTCTTTTCTTAGGGTGTCAATATAAGTGGAGGGCAGAAGCAGAGAGTGAGCCTTGCTAGAGCTGCGTACAGCAATGCTGACTTGTATCTCCTGGATGACCCCCTGTCTGCTGTAGATGTACACGTTGGAAAACATCTTTTTGAGAAGCTAATTGGCCCTTCAGGTCTCCTAAAAAGCAAGGTAAAGTAGGATGGCTTCCTTTCTATCAATGGCTTTGTACAATACAGCAAACATGGTAAAAGTCTCAGTCCAATCTGCAAAAGTTCATCTCTTACCTGATATGTTGATGAAAATTATTCGGAATAAAGAGGCTGAATAAAAAGCAGAGCTAATTGTGCCAGTTTAAAGCCTATTGGGTAGACATAGCACAGACTGAAGAATGTGGGAATCTGAAAGACTCATATAATAGTTGCTCATCTCTTCTTTACTGGCAGTTTTTGAGGAATGCCGTGGTGTGCACATGGAAGGCAGGGCAGAGCCCTTTGTGGTGACACATGATGCCTCACTGCAGCAAACAGGTTATAGCCAGTATAGGTTATAGAAAGAAAGGCTTCTTGTTGGGCAAAGAAGTTCCTAGGGGAAGGTGGAATCTGAAGGAATAGATTCTCCCATTTGAAAACTGTTGATGTGGGAAGGTAAGATAGCTTGTAAAAATCTCTCCTCAGTGTTGTGTGTTAGTACAGATTATTCCTGCTGGCTGCTGCCTGCAAAACACATATATTAACATGAAACACTTACTGTTGTGTCTACAGTTGTTGCTTCATAAATGTCCTTCACTTTACCTCTCTCCCTTCTCCCTTTTCTTAGTCTACCTGCTTGATGTATAAGTTTTTATACATTGGTTGTAAGTATTTGGCAGAGGCAAGAGCTCTAGTACTGGTAGGCTTCTAGGCAGATTTTAATATTGAGGCTATCATAACTACATGTAGTACATTAAAACCTGTAGTATCTAGGTGTTTTTTCTACAACCTAATCTAAACCATTCCTGAGCAGGGAACAGGTAAGAAACATTAAGGATTAGGAACCAGGCAAATACAAGTAACAGCAAATAGCAATAAGCTTGGAGTTTAACATTGCAATCGACAATTAAAAGAGTATTATAGTAAAGTAGTCAGTAAATAACAGCAATAATAATAATGATAATAATAAAGTAGACAAATAAATGGGCAAAATCACAGAAGAATGACATTATACCATTCCAGCAATCATAACTGAATGTCTGCTTTTAGTACGTGTTTATATTTACATGGCAAAATGGGAAACATTGTGTTTCAGACTCGTATATTGGTGACCCATAACCTCACACTCCTGCCTCACACTGATCTTATAATAGTAATGGAGGAGGGCAGAATAAGTCAAATGGGGACCTACCAAGAACTCATTTCAAAGAGAGCTAATTTTGTTGAGCTTGTTCAAAACTTCGGTGCAGAGCGTACAAGCGAAGAGACAACCCCAATGGAAGGTGAGAGAATTCTTATACAGTGTTTGCTTAGTATTTTTACTTTTCATTGCAGCTTCTCAAAATACTCCTCCTGAAAATGAATAGAAGAATTGCTGGAAAATATAGAGCATTCCTGTCTATGTTTTGCTATAGAATTACAGTTTATAAGCTGAAAAAAATTCTGGCTTTAATGTCTTGAGATCAAATGGTATGATAGAGCCACCTTATGCAGCTGGTTTCAACTTTTCCATATTGTATTAGTCACCATGTAAAGTTCCATGATTCTGCTAAAGATTCATCACTTAATAAGTAACATATGGACATTTCAAATTAATCTTGCAGTGTCAATGATTTTGTCCTGTTCTGTATTGGATAATTCCCATTTCCATCACCTTAGACTGCTGTAATCACAGAGCACAGCAGGAGGGGCAGGAGAATATGGTCCACTTGTAGGAGAAAAAAATTCATTAAACTTTTACTGCTCTTATTGAATACTTCCAGCAAACAAGTAGACAGTGTAAATAAATATTGCATAATCCCTTAAAAATACATGCAGTCATTCACGTGGATTGGGACTCAGCTTACCTCTGTACCTGAGTTGTTCAATGTGTGCTCTTCATGGAGCTGTGGGAAAGAAGTAGGTACATTGACCATTCAGTCTGACCTGTTTACATAATGTACTTCAGGAGGAGATTAATTGTGGTTCTTTAATTTTGAGAGAAGAAATCTATCCAAATGAACAAAAGAGTCCTATAAGACCTAGGTGACTGCAGGTGTTTATAATGCTGGTTTCCAGTTTTCTTAGCAACTCTAAATTGAGCCTCTGCTGGCCCTGTACTGGAGCCAGTGCTCTGAAACATTTGCTGGGGTTTGATGGAGAGGAGTGGAAAGACAGAACAGCCAATTTGCAAAAGGCAGCAATGGGCAGTCTCGTGTTAGCTCTGCTGGGATGACAGTGTGAAGTGGCCCTGTAAGGAAATATCCACTATTCACAAAGGGTAATAAAGAGAGGGGAGGGGAAACAAAGTCATGAGGAAAAGAAACATCATGCACTGTGTTGTGATGCAAAATTGTACAGCAGAGGTACACTCAGCAGGAGGGCTGGATGTAGAGAACATCTTTGTCTTAACATCTGTTGAAGAAAATAATATCAAATATGAAAAAAAAAAAAAAAGAAGAAAAAAATCAGTTCCTGGAAGAAAAAAAGTGTTTGAGTCCTTTCAATAACACAAAAAAAACCAGTAAGCTCAGCTTTCCAGCCATGATCAAAGAATTCTTTGAGATAAACACTAATGTTACTATTTGCAGGAATACTAATACTTTCACTAAGTAGGAACGGAATTCCAAGGATACTCTAGGCTCATGGGGGGGATTTACCTGCTGTCACAGTTCTAGCATTTGGTCACAAACGTGTCTGTCTTGGATATTAGCTGTCCCAATATTAGGTCAGTTTAGGGAGTTCCTAATTTAAAGTATTCCTATTCATCATTTTGTCCCCATTTTTTATTTCTCTCTTCTTGTACTGTTCCTGTCTACTCATGGTATAATACTGAAAAGATTTCTCTACTTTTTTTCCATTGTAGTGAGTTCTTCAAAGGAAGAGGGCCAGCTGGGAAGGAAACTACAACAAAAAGGGCTGCTGAAACATAAGGAGTAGGTATTAAAAAAAAAAAAAATTAGCCATTGCTTAACTGATGCAATGCTAGAACAACCCTAAGTGCTGAAGGCTGTGACACCATGCTTCAAGGTGTAAACATGGGTTAAGCCTGAATGCCCGTTAGCAGTTCCTTGGAGAGCGTGTGTCTGGTTTCCCTTTATACAAAAGAAATCCAGTGAATGTGCCACATGAGTTCAAGAGATCCAGTCCATGGGCTGCTTCACTGTGTGAACCAAAGTGTGTTAGGCAGGAGTGAAGGGGGCTTTCAGAAGACCAGCTGAAGCCTCTGGTGGGGATGCACCCACAATTCCCAGACAGCAATTTGACTTCTTAATATATATTATGTTGTTTATGCTCCTTTTTTTAAATGTTTATGTGTCTTTTTCCACCTTTAAGAAAACTTGTGGGCTCCCAAAGAGTTGAATGACCTCTTGGATCACTGTGTAAAGCACAGTAGTGGTATATTTGCAGCGATAGAGGATAGTGCAAAGACGAAGTAGAAGAGACTCAACCTAGAAGGTTAAGATGGTGTAGGTCACTTAAACTTAACCAGCCTGGTCCAGAAGTAGTAGAATCAGATGTGTCAAACAGTAAAAGAGACCCAAGTTGCCTCAGGAAAGGGTGGTCACACATCTTTAGCAGGGCAAACTCAGTCTTACCTACACACAGTTATACAGGAATTTAAAAGGCCGTACCTAGTCTTGTCTTCTGACCATAACATTGTTCTCACAACAAAAACAGAACAGCTCAGGAGAGTTGGTGTCTCCACAGGAAAAATTTATGTGATTTTATAGCATCCGGTTTTGTTTGGGAATAAATGGATACGTTCTTTGCATGAGGACCCACAGGAAGATTTGAAAGTGTTTCTTGTTTGCAGCTCTTCCTTTGGTCAGCGGAAAGCACACACTAACAATAAAGAGGAAGTTGCTGCTGGCGGCGTAAGTATCACTGATAGAAAAAGCTTTGACATTTGTCTTTATAAAAATGTCTTATTTTGCTACTGCAGTTTTTTGTTTCTTAGATCTCTTTACTGAATTTAAAATAAACCTTACATGTTTTCATCAAATTTTAAGCATATGGTCAGAGATTTTCTATTTTGATGATCTGCTGCTGGCTGTATTTTCATATTATGTCTAAGTTGACCTAGTTTTGCATATTTCAGAAAGAAGATGATTAAAAAACACTTTTATTTCTGTTAGAAAAACTTTCTGTCTATCTTTAGGAAACTTAAACAGCTACGTGCTGGAGCAGAGACTAGAAATTTTTCATGGTAATGTTGCAGTATTGTTTTATGTTAGAAGCACACTTTCTGCAGTCTCCATTAAAAAAATCTGCCAGTTGCAAGAAAGAGGGAAAAGACCAAGTGAAGCACTTCAGAGAAGGCCAGAGCTTCTTGTGAAGCTGTAGTTCTGTTGAGATAAGAACAGTGGAGTGGAGGGCTGAAGAATTTCTAACAAGATGGTAGAAATAGGCTCTTGGAAAAAAATGAATTTAAAGAAGAGACAGAAGAGTTTGTGCCAACTGGAGCTCATTTCACTTCAGATCCTGTAATGAAATCCAAGAATCTGCTCCTACCAGCTCTGCCTTTAAAGTGGCCTAGCTTACTTCGGCCCCATCATCATCTACACCAAGAATGAGAACTTTCTCCTGCTGTCACTAATTTCCTTGGCTCCAGTAGCCCAGAGTGGTAGTTCTAAAGTTTCTACTTCCACTGATGAACAGAGTAAAATTTGCTTCATACAGACTGTCAGGAATTTCACTTTTGGTTGGTTCATTTGTTGTTTTTTATTTTCTTTTTCTTTCTTTTTTTTGTATAATCTACATACGTAAAAGTCTGACACTGGAAAGTATCTCAAGCAAGATTGCCTATGAGATGTATCATTAAAGAACAGAGTCTAATGGGAGACAAAAGCTTTTCACAGTACAATTTTATATAGCTAATTTATCAGATTTAATTCAGAAATTATTTAGATTTATTCCGAATTTAATGTATCCAATTCCCATGTGTATTTGCCTTCAAGAATGATGATGATTTTATGAGTAATTTTTTTTCGAGGTGAAAGTTTTGTTTATGATTTTATGAGTACCTTCTCTTTTTCATGTATTCTTTTCTTTTAGATGAAAATGTCAGTTGTCTTGAAATACCTCCAAGCCTTCAGCTGGCGATGGATGTGGTTGACCATAGCTGCTTATATAGGCCAGAATGCACTAGGCATTGGACAAAATCTGTGGCTTAGCACCTGGATTGCAGAAACAGCACAAGTTAGTGATTTCACAGAATGGAAACAGTCACGAAACTATAAGCTTTCTATCTACGGGCTTCTGGGATTCATTCAAGGCAAGGATGAGCATTTATGACTCTTTTCTCACTGTTTGCCAAATTTGATCTGCCTGAATATGTGTCAGTAAAGAAATAGTGCTATTTGTTTCATGGTGTGCAACACAGTATAATAGTTAAACTTGGGGAGAGCAGGAGCCATATTACAGACATGTAGAAGAAAATGCAGTTTAATTTGATGATATTGCTGTGAATTCTTGGAACATACATACGTAACCTAATGAAGCTCTGTTGGCGTCTCGTTGAGGTGGGGATTCAGTATGGATGTGAAGTGGTGTGCTAGCAGAAGAGACTTAACTGCAGGAAAATCATACTTAGGAAGTACTAAGATGTATCAACAAAATGAAATATGTACATTTGTAAAACTGAGAGGAAGCGCAACTGTGGGATTGGTCACTGTGCTAGAAAACAGCGACAGGAACAAGCTCCATCCCTTTTCCCAACCCAGCCATTCATACTGTCTTTCAATTTATCCATTCCCAAGGCCTGCTCGTTTGCTGTGGTGCTTATGTGGTCACCAGGGGATCCCTGTCTGCTTCCCGGGTGTTGCATGGTCAGCTGTTGGACAACGTGCTGCACCTTCCTCTGCAGCATTTTGTAACTAATCCAGTTGGTCGGATCATCAGCAGGTTCACAAAGGTAAAGGGAACACTCATGCAGAGTTATCCATTTTATGAAAATGAAGCTTGAGTTGGCTTGGTTTTAATTCCATTTTAGCATTGTTAAAAAAATAATTATATGAAAGAAAAGCACTGCAATATCTAGCAATGGGAAGCTGTTCCAGTGCATAAAACTTAAAGAACTGTCTCAAGCTATTTTCTTACAAAACCATCAAAACATATTTTTGATAGAAGTTGTATAGACCCTATCCAAGATCATTAAGAGTTCATTCCTCAAAGACCATTCCTGCAGTGCAACTGGTTTATCAGACCTAAATCTGGTCTATTTTTAAAAGAAAACTGTATTTTTCTTCAATAATATCACCGAATCATAGAATCAGCCGGGTTGGAAAGGACCTCTGAGATCATCAAGCCCAATCTTTCATTTTTTTTTTTTTTTTTTTGAAATCCATTCAGTACTCCAGAAAAATCCAGTCCTGGTTTTCCCTCATTCCGTGCGCCGACGATCCGGAGCTGGCAAACAGGGGCGGGGCAGGGCGATTTGGGAAGCAGGAGCGGGCAAACGGGGAACAGTGTTTAAGCTAATGTCCGTCTTGATAAGGATTTTTATTATTAAACTTTGTCATTACTTACCTTTGGGGTTGCACAAAAGGAAGGATGTCTCAGCTGCAAAAGTGCACAAGGGTAGATGCGCCTTTGACTTGGCATCAATTTGGTTTTTTCGAATGGTATCTTGCCTTGTGGCAAATGCAAATTGGATTTGAAAAATGACGTAGTGACGAAGTTTTGTAAAAGCAAAAAGCTATACTCTCTTTTATGCTGAAAATAAGGAGTATATACTGAGTTCTGATTGTTGTGTACTATCCAGAGTATTGGAAAATCCTTCATTTTCATCCGAATAGATTCTGTATGTCAGAATCTAATGTAATTGTCAAAACTAGTTAATACATTAAATTCATGTTCTCAGAGGCATATAGAAGTGAATGTTATTTTCACTTACAAGTGAACGTTATTTTCTACTTTTGTACGTCTTTGGCTATAAGTGGAACCTTTATTGCACAAACAAGTGTTATTTACTACAGTTTTAATGCTTCCCACTCCCGTCATAAGTAGATTGTTGCAATGCGTTACTAAGTGACTGCTGATGGTTATGTTCTCTAGAATAATACCAAGAGGTTGTGTAATACACTAAAAGATCAATTAATTTAGGTTTCTCAAAGTTTTTAGTGGAATTTACTCACAAAATCTTGATTTTTCTGTGCATTGTTACAGGACTTATCTGTCGTGGATGTCCGTTTCCATTTCTACTTGGGAACTTGGCTGAATTTTACCCTGGATGTTATTGGAACCATTCTAGTTATCACATCTGCCTCACCACTATTCATAGTGGTAATTATTCCCCTGGGACACTTTTATTTAATTATCCAAGTAAGTGCATTGTTCTTAATAGGGATTTCTAGATGTGCATGGATAAAATGTCTAAAACAATCCAGCATACAGGCTTAAATAATTTTTTATTGTGGAAAAAAAATACATATACAAATATATATGCAAAACACATCTGAAATTGTTTTCAGAAAAAAAATCTTCAGAGTTCTTGAAAGGAAATTTGGACACTTCCTGAATATATCCTGTAATTCTTGGGAATTTACATCTTTCTCTTCATAGTTCGCTTTTTTGTGGGAAGATACAATATTGATAGAGATCTCAGCAAGAAATTTGCTGAAGTTACCTGAAGAAACGGAGTGTATATTATAGTGAAAGTTAACAGCTGAAGGATAACCCTGAAACAGCAGCTGTACATAGAATGATGCCTAAACTACCTGTGCTGTTTTTTGTGCAGAGTTTCAGTTGTGGTACTGAGAAGCCAAAAATTAATGTTTCAGAAAGACTAATGGCTGCTTGCCTGTTTCTTAATAGTCAGAGTATGGTCTGGGATTAAAGATGTTAAAGACTCTTAAAATAAGAACATAGAGGAAGGAAAAGAGTGCCTGAATTCGGTGTCTGCTAAAGAGCTGAAATACAGACATCATTACATGGAAGAAATAAAGGCTGACTTTCATCTTAGAAAGAATTGGGACATTCTAATTTGGAAGTTACACTGAAGTTTTAGTTGGTTGTTACACACCCCTGGTGGTACAGCACATTTTGTATAGAACTTGGAAATGATGTTCTTTTATTTTAGCCTTACCAGTAATTTATATATGGCAGTTGGGTTTTCCTTCTGTGTTGGTTTTGAACAGCTTTTTTTTCTGTGTAGACGCTTTCAACTTTTTCCATGTTAAAAATTTACAGGAATTCCTTATGAGAATATTTAACTGGCTACTGTCTGTACTGTTTCATTAGCGATACTACATTGCGAGCTCACGACAAATTCGACGTCTGGTGGGAGCATCGCAGCCTCCAGTGATCTCCCACTTCAGTGAGACTCTTGTGGGGCGATCAACAATTCGAGCATTTGGCTACCAAGAGAGATTCATTAGAAAAAACTATGATGTTGTGTATGAGAACGTAGTTTGCGTCTACAACAACCTCATCTCAAACAGGTACTTTGCAGCAGTTCTTCATCTGTGACTGAACCTTCTTCTGTAGAATTCCACAACTCAGTGTTCACTTGTAGTCAGAGTAGAGCCACTGAGAAGCAAGGACAAGAGCAATTTATCCACCACTCTTTATAATGAATGCATAGTGTTTAAGCACTAGGATGATTTTTTCTTTATGTACCATAAAATAGTGGGTTTATATAGAAAATGTGCATATGCTGTCTGGGATGAGAGTATTTTAAAAAAGAAAAGAAAAAAGTTTACCGATCAGTCATGAGCATGGACTATGCTACACTTCAGCTAATAGTTCTTCTTGCAAGTTTATGAACAAATCAAATTTGTGTTTCAGTAGTTCATGTGGAAGTAACCCAGTGTCTGTATCCACAGGCACCAGCTGGATGTTGAGAGTGGAATCTTGGGTTTAAGCAAACAAAGTCCATTTCCTCACCTTCCTTTGTGATTCAGTTCAGTTACAGGCAGAGATTAGCAAGGAGAAGATTTTCATGTCTGGTTTTCAGTCGTATGCTTGAATCTTTTCCAGGCAGGGAGAGCAAGAAAGCAGTATGAGGAGTGAAGGGAGAGCTGGCCAGGAGTTGAGACACAGGACTTTTAGTTTTAGTGGTGCTACCAGTTCTAGATATGTCATATTCCCTCCCCAGTCCCTCTGTAAAATGGGAATGATGGTACCTGTCTCTTTGGGGAAGTGGGTAAATTGCTAATATAATGATCTCGGAGTCATTACATTAGAAATATCTTCACTGTGCTATAAAAATTCTGTAGTAATTCTTTTTTTTCTTTGCCTTCATTTACTACAGCTGGCTAACTGTCAGGCTTGAGTTTTTGGGAAATTTGATGGTGTTCTTTGCTGCACTGTTTGTAGCACTGTCTGGAAATACAGTGAGTTCTTCTACAGTGGGTTTATTGATATCCTATGGTCTAAATGTAAGTAATAGAATAAACTTTTTGCTGTTACCACGTTGCATATAAAAAGAGCAGTATACATACAGTGAAGTCGAGTAGGTGAATATGCACTGTGGCATCAACAACACTAAATCCCCTGGGCAAAACAGTTTTCCTTTGAATTGCATTAATTCTGGGAAGCTTCCCATTAATTATTTTCCACTTCTGCATTTAGATGGAATAATAATTATTAAAACATATTTAAAAATAAATTAATCAACTAGGTATAGTGTATTTTTAAGTATTTTGTTCAACCAGATAGGAAGCTTAGTCATGTACAACTATACTTCATATTTGATTTCTTGTTCTTGTTCACTTACTGAATGTTATGTAGGAACATTTACTTAGAATTCTATTCACTGAAGTCATTTGCTTTGGCATTGCCCTTGTAAAGGTAGTATGTGAGAACCACACTATAGGGTGTCTTGAAGTACAATAAACTTTACTGATAAGTTGCTAGTTAAGTCTAAAGTATGATGTAGACAGAAAGTAAACATCCAATTTTCTTCAATTTTGTGATGCTAAGGAGCCTAGCATTGTCTAAATTCTCACTGTGGTAAGTGCTTCAGAAACCCAGCTGACATTACTAATGAATAGAAATACAAAAAAAACTATGGAGTCTATTATCTGTCGTGGCTTATCCACGTCATAGCCAGCTCACAAGAGTCGAATTTCTACATTCTCCAATGTAACTATTTCCCCAGGTAATTCAGATTCTAAATCTTTGGGTGCGTAGAGCGTGTGAAATCGAGACCAATGCAGTTTCAATTGAAAGAGTTTGTGAATATGCAACAATGGATAAAGAGGTGAGCATTCTTCTTGAAATGCTGAGCCTTCATCTTGAGTATTTAATTTCTGTGCATAGAAAAAAATGACTAATTAGATTGACTTTAATGTTGGTGAGTGGTAATAGCAGGTAATTGTTGTTAAATGCTGTCTGGTTTTTGTGTGGTTTTTTTCTTTGCATTGAGAATATGTAGTTCTTCATCACATTTATAGTCATAGCAGTTTTATTCCTACTTTGACCAGTAAATTTTTTGTCATCATTCGTAGCAGTAGATTTTGTAGTAGGACTGTAGCTGTGGCTCAGGTGAACTCCCTGTGTTACGTGAAGCCAAGAGGAGCATTTGAGGAGGGGGAGAGAGGAAGAGAGGCCTCTCTGACCTTTAATTGGTACTCGCCTCATGTCTGGGGAGACATTTATTTGAAATCAATTTGCCTTGGCTGTTGTGCTTTTCTGAAAGTAGTGTCCATGTCAAGCATGAAGGCAAACAAGGCTGTCCCTTACTTCTTCATTCTCTTTTACCCTTCCCTCATGTTTATGTTTCTTTGTTCACATCTTTCTGTTTTCTCCTACTCCTGAAAACAAAATGTTTCTCATTGAATATGCATTTAAAAAATCTGGGAGATTAAGCGTCAGATTCAGTTCAGTTCCTGTCAGCTGGTACCAGATACTAGACTATTAGCAGCTACCCAGTTAAACTGAATTTACTTTTTTAAATGAGCGTGTAAGATGTTGTTAAACAACCCCACATGCTTCTTCCCAGAGTTCATGAAAATAGGTTCTCCTTCCATTATATTGCATTAGAATTACCCTAGACATGCTGGGATTTTCAAAGATATGTGTATTTTATCTTGTAACATTTTTACTCTTGTATACTGAAATACCAATGGTTTTAATTCCAGGAGCCATGGATAAAGTCTAAAAGACCACCAATGGGGTGGCCTGATAGAGGAAAAATAGAGTTTGTTAACTACAAGGCTCATTACAGGAAGGATCTTGGTTTAGTCCTGAATGATGTCTCTTTTCAGACACAGAGTAAAGAAAAGGTACTGTATGTAATAAGAAATAGATGTATTAAATTCCGTTTCACAACTTTCTACTTCAAAAATATTTCAGATAAGGAGACTGCACTACTAGATGCAGCAAGATGATGTTGAACAGGGAAGATATTAAATGGAGAAGAGAGTAAAGACAAGGCAAAAGCGAAAAGGAAAAGTGTTTTGTAGGAATATGTAGAAATTGTTATCCTTATGTGAAACTGAGATAAATTTTTATGAATTTGGCTGTTCTAAGGAAGAAGATCCAAATTTGAATTTAGACTTCTTGTCCCCTGTGCTCAGTGTTTATGCAGAGAAATACATTTCCAGGTTAGCGCTAATCAGCTTTGGGCTTGGGATCAAGGAGCACCAAACGAGACCTAGTTTAGAGTCTTTGGTTTGAGCTGAGGAGTGCAAGAAAAAAAGGGAGAGGAAATGAAAAGTATTCCCACTGAACCAGGCATAGGCTTTTACAGCTCAGAGTCACAGAATCACAGAATCAGCTCCTGAGGGAGAACTGGATTGAGAGCTGTGAAACTGAATTCACTGTATCATATAACTCACTATATCATTTTTCATCTGGAATATGCAGCATAGAAAGTTACACTGTCATAAAACTTTCTGTTTCAGGTTGGAATTGTTGGAAGAACAGGATCTGGTAAATCAACACTCACAAATTGCTTGTTTAGAGTTCTGGAGGGATGTGAAGGCAAAATAATTATCGATGGAATTGACATATCAACTATTGGTCTCCATGACCTGCGTGGAAATCTTAACATTATTCCACAGGTGAGATGTGCGTTAGAGATAACTATTACTCTTTTTCGACTAACACAAAACATTCAGTTTTTGGGAGAAATTTTATCCTCAAAGTCCACAGGCTGCCTGGAAACAGAGGCTTAAAACTCCAATAGAATTTTGGCAATTATGTGGAAGAAGCTTCAAAACAGGGAGACCACTGTATGTCATGACATTAGGTTTTGGTATACCATGCTTAGTTTAGCAGTCTAGCTAGCATAACTCAGGTTCTCCAGAGTCTTTATATGTATAGTTACATAGAGGGTTTCCAAAGTTCCACTTGAGGGCAAAAATATTTTAAAATACCTCCAATTATGTATGGAGAATATCGGGAATATATGGAGAATGTCGGGAATATATATTGAAATTAATCTGCTATAGTCTGCTTTGTAAAGGTGTCCCTGCTTACTTCATAACGGGACAGAAAGCTCAAGATTAGTTCACATGTCATTAGGATTGTGTTCATACTTGTAAACTGATTTACACTGAAATGCTCTAGTATAAAGTAAAACCTAGAACACAAATTTAATGATCATCTGGAGACTTTTTGCACTTCCCCTGAATGCCACTGATGCAAACATTTTTGTGCGTGGGTGATGCTAACATCACTTACATTAAATTTATCTGACATTTTTCAAAGGAAGGGTTTGGGTTTTTTCTTAACTTTTTTTGAGCTTTAACCCCAGTAATATTTCCTGTGTGTCTCTAACCAGATTTAACTTAGAATCTTAGCCTTCCAATTTTACTTACCAGTGCCCATGGATGTAGTCTCCAGTGCTTCAGAAACTTAGCAATAGTAATAATTGATGTCTTGTGGCTTTTGCCACGTGCTGGACAGGTCTGTGGTCAGCCATAGAACCGGAGCACAGTGAATGCACAAGGAATCTCTTGTCCTTTGCATTTTACCCTAAAAAAGAATTCATCTCACAGAGACACCACATTATTTTTGTGCTTCCATTCACCGGCTTCAGACTGTTAAAATTTCCAAGATTATTTGTCCCAGTTCCCTCTGTTATATAAGGATTTATGGCAGACTGTTTTAGGGTTGTGTTGGAATTGTGCACTCACATTCTGCTGTTATTTAGGACCCCATCTTGTTTTCTGGGACACTGCAGTCAAATCTGGATCCACTTGGAAAACACTCTGATCTTGAACTGTGGGAGGTGCTGGAACTGTGTGACTTAAAGGATTTTGTCTGGTCACTGCCAAAGAAGCTCCTTCATGAGATTTCAGAAGGTGGTGACAATCTCAGGTACATAATCAAGAAAGTACCATTGCAGTTATTTTCCAGTACTGTAAAACTATGTGTTCCTTCCAGAGGGTTTACTTCAGAAAGTATCGGGATAAAAGTGACACTTCTGTCATTCTAAGTGGAATTATTCTGATTGTGTGAGTTTCTTTGAGGTGCCCAACTGGTCACAACTGTATAAAGTCCTATGGTATATGGGAAGCCAAGGAAGTAGACTATTTTCAGCTCAAGTATATAAGGAAGTGTAAAGAAGGGGGGTGTGGTGTTGGAATTCATGTAGCACCTAATTAGATTTGGGCAGAAAAGTACTCATTAATTTAAATTTAAAAAAAAAATTCAAACCAGGGAAAAAAAAAAACAAAACAAAAAACAAACCCCAAACCAACAAAACCAAAAGCCACTAAACTCCAAAGAGCTTATTCCTTTGCTTTATTTTCTCAGGCAAAGAAACTCAGTTTTTCCTTGTAAAACGCTATGCAAGGAGGGTGACACTTGAAATAAAAGAACTCTAAACTCAAGGAGACACATACTGAAGCTTTCAGCAGCAAAGGGGCAGGTCTTCAATGTTGAGTGTGCTGAATATCAACCTGAGTGTACTGAATATCAACCTGAATTTTTTTTGACAGATCACTTGCAGGAGGATGGTTCTAGGAGGCACATAGCACAGCTCACATACAGGAGTATCCAAACTTTTACACTGAACATTATTAAGAAGGGGGTTGGCATTCAATTTGGCTTACTCAGAGTGCCCATTATAATGTGAATATAGAAACTGAAGACTAGGTTTACACTACAAAGTTCAGCCACAGGTGTGGAAGAGTCCCACCTTAACTACAATTGATATGCTGAGCAAGAGGAAATAAAACTTTCAAAACAAGGTGAACATATTTCACTGTTCTTTTCAGGAAGTGTTGTTAGCAAAGACAGTACAGATAAGCTTCATAGTAATCTCAGCTTTACCTTGTTCTCCCCTTCCTCTTTGTGCCTGACCTGCCCTTCTCAAATATATTTTTAACAGTGTTGGGCAGAGACAGCTGCTCTGTCTGGCCCGTGCTTTGCTGCGAAAGACAAAGATCCTGGTCCTGGATGAGGCAACAGCTTCTGTTGACATGGAAACGGACAACTTTGTGCAGTCCACCATCAAAAGAGAGTTTCACAACTGCACAGTATTAACTATAGCCCACAGGTTACATACAGTCATGGATTCAGAGAGGTAAGTTTTCACTTACTGAGGTTTACCCTCTCAACACTTCTAACCTTGATGTCTTTGTACCTTTGTAATCCAAGATACCAAAAACGACGTGAGCATCAATTTTAATTAAATATTGATAACCTGTATTCTGCTTCCCCCTTCTAATTACAAAATTAATTTACTAATTTTCCTGCTAAGGGACAGGTATAAGCTACTAGTAAGACCACTTAATTCTCTAGAGTGAATGGACTATACTGTAGCATTTTTACCAATTAAGCAAAAATGCCTTTTTAAAAAGGTTTTTTTTAACATACTAGTTCCTAGCTTTAGAATGAATGAACTAATGAATTCACTAATGCAATTATATTTCTTCTAAGTAAGCCTTCCCATTATCCAGAGATATCTGTATTAGGACAGAAAAATACAGTTGAAGATCTGATTTTTCTTCTGTTATCTTTCTGTTTTTGCATTGTAGAGTGCTTGTTCTGGATGCAGGAAGGATTCTAGAGTATGATACACCACAGAATTTGTTGCAACAAAAAGGTGCCTTTTCTGAAATGGTTGCAGAGGCTGGGATAAGAAGATAAAGAAAACTAATGAATGAATTCTTACGGAACACTCAAGGGATCTCTGGCATTCCCCATATATAAATGCAATATTTTATATTCCTTATAAAATACCTTACTTAAGAGCTTAATCAAGAGCTTCTGGCAGCATTGCTGTTTACTACAGCTACAACCTGTTTATATTGATCAGATTTCCTAAAATAACTTTCAGATTTTATACAAATCACTTCTTTTGATCACGTTGGCACTGGAACAACATAATGAAGCAGTAATTTTCATGGCATATGTTAACTGTTGCACTGGTAAAGACTGATTGAAAAATAAATCTTGCTGTTCACAGGTTGGTCTTAATTAAAAAATAGTACTTAATTAAGCTGCTCTGTCATTATGCTCATTTAGTTAATACATTCTTATTATGATTACGCATTCAGGAAAAACAAAACTGCTTGTTGTGTGGACATACAGACAGATGTCACTTGGGGCTGATTTTTAAGACATGCATATGTACATGTATACTTAGGCAGTTCTTGAGACAATAAATGTGCCTTTTGACCTTGTGATTTCTGAATAACTGAAAACCACACATCTTATGTATCTAATTGTCCATTACAAGATCCCATTGTGAAAGAATCCCAGAAAAATACAGTCAGGTGCAGCTGCCTCTTTGGTAGTAAATTTTAAAGTAAACTTCAATACTAATTACAGCAGCAGGACAGGTTATATACATTTACTGAAAGTGCCAGTCAAATGTGCATGTGCTTTTTACTACAGTTCCTGAAGCTCTTCCAATTTAATACCAACTCAACCAGTGTAATCAACCTTCACTTAGTTTTTTAAGATCAGATCCCCATCAACTGCTTTAAAAAAAAAACAAACAACAAGGTACCTGAATACAGTTCCAGGCTACAGCCCTGTTATATTAGTTTAATATTGACACCTGGTTTATATCAAGTATGATCTGAATGTCTTACCCAATAGCAAGCAAAACATATTTGCTGTTTTAGAAGGGTGGTGGAGACTCTCTGAAGAGAGTTCCTCAAAGATGTGATTCTACTGCAGTGAAGGTGAATGATTTCTCTCTCCTTTCCTGAAGGTAAAAACGCAAGCCTATCCTCGTACGTTACAAAGTACTGTCCAGTTTAACTGGCTGCAAAACACAACTCAACATACTTTCACTCCCAGAAAACTATTAGAAGCATATAATGGTTTTTGACTAGGAACAGCCCAGCCCAAGTAATTATTATGCTCTGAAAGTCCTGGAGAGGCAGGTGTTAGAAAATATTTCTCAAGAAACAGAAAAATGTTCTGCTTTTCTTCTCTTTTCCTCTTTTTTCTCCCAAATGAGGCCAGCAGTACCTTCCCAACTGAGCAGGACGTTTTTGTGCCCACATTTGCCTTCCCTGCAACATTCACAGTGCCCCAGGCAGGCTTTTCTGTGGCTCTGCTTCCCCCAACCTTGTCCCCATCCCTTCCCTGCCTTTTCATGCTGCCCCTCCAAACCTATCCTTACCTGAAGTGTTGCAGAGGCACTGGAAAGGACTGAAGTGAGTGCCATTCCATAAGTGATTAATAAGCTTTAGGCATAAGGCTAGGAGAGGTAGACTTCAGTACCTCAGAGACCAATCCCTTTTGCAAGGTCCAGAGAAAATAATCTGAGGACTGGCATCGGTGCATGGTAATCTTCACTTTCTTTGTTTAGTATTATTTGTGGGAAAGAGGGTTTTCTATACTTACTGGCAGGCTGACATAGCCTTTCAGCTTCAGCCTCCCTTCAGACCACAGCTGGGAGAGCTGCAGACTGAACAATTTCAAAGACTGAGTGAAAAGAAAATGCAGTCCTAGTGTCAGCAAAGCCACATGGACATTCCTTCTCTTTCAGCAAGCTGTACCCCTCACATTTAACTTTGTAAAAGGAGGTGCACCAGAGGCAGAAGCAGCATGATATGCTCCTGCTGTTCCCATGCAGCAGTGGCTTACCAAAATAAATCACCTAACAAGCTTAGGTAGGCAGGGAAGGGCAGTTTTGCATTAAGCACATCACCCAGGGTTTGCAGCCTCTCCTTGCCTCACACACCCGATGTCAGAGGCACTCTAAGAAACAAAGAAGGATCACTTGGCTGAGTTCAGTATTAACTCAGGTTTTGTAGTACCCAACCCACCAAAACAACACAGCACCAGCCAACTCCCTTGCCAGCACAAAGCCATGTAGCCCTGCAGGCCAGCTCAGTGCACACCTCGCCCCTTCTGCCCTTTCTCCTCCAAACAGGAATTCCCCTAAGCCTCCCAGGTCCCAGTCTTGTCCTGAGGGACCACTCATAGGCACCCACCTTGTGAGAAAGGCTCTGCCCCACAGGGCCACCACCTGCTCAGAGTCCTGAGAAGGTGCTTGGGCCTGTTGGGCCTGGGCAGGTGACCTTCACTTAGCTGGAGATCCTGAGAGGGACCCAACTGTTCATCCACTTGAGGATGAGCTCCTCAGCTCCTTGAGGAGCTACTCTTGGACTCCTTTTCCAGCCAGATACCTTGGGATAGGGAAAGGAAGGGTGGGACAGCAAAAGGACCAGAGCAGGTCTGTGAGAAGTGAGAATGAGGCTCAGAAGGGATAGAAATTGCTTTTATTAAAAACATTCTAAAATGTTATTTATAAAATGCATTTCATCCTCTGCACTGGGAAACAATTCAGGAACATACAACTGTTGAGGCCTCTTAATGCTTTCAGAATTTCAACTCACAAAACAGGCTTAAGCTATAGAAACTTGTTACACATCTAACACCACAGGCAACTGTAGATTTCAAGGATTTTAGAAAGATTTCAGCCTTCAAATATCAATTTGTTTAAAGAGACTTTTGATAAGCAGCCCATGTGCATACCTGAAAATATCCACTTAGTACAGCAGACTCATCTTTAAAATTCAATGGTTTGTGCCAAAATACAGTATTAAAAGATACAAAATAAATAATTTGCAGAATTCAAAAAAGTTATTTAATAAATAAGGATGCATTGTGAGATACCCAATGTACAGTAATTTCTCCACTAAAAAACCCAACCTGTATAGAAATTTCAATAAATACCCTTTTGTGAATTTTTTTACAAGTAAACAACTCACCCTTCCCTTCCAATTCCCAGATTAACACTGAAGGAGATTTAACTCCTCCAGAGTGAAGGAGTATGTGAAACAAACAAAAGTACTTCATTTATTTGCCTCGAGAGTTTACCAGTTTAAAGTCACTCCCACACTCCTTGGGACAGCTTGTCCCAAAACTGCAAAAAGCTTTTAATCGTTTAACTTACTGTGATGTGGCTCTGTTTTTACACAGGTCTGCTTGTTTTACACAGTGCAGTAAAGACATGAAGACTAAAGCCCTACTGTAACTCCAGTAGGTTTTGAGATGAATTCACAGCACAGCAGAAGGAAAGGTCACAATGATTCCAAAGACGTTGGAATGTATGTTGAACACATTTATATCTGCAAAGCAAAGGCCCCAAACAGCAGCTAAGGACTGTACCAATTGGCATTCATCCATGGTTTCCCTGGAAAGGCACTTCTTTCACTGCAGGAGTTTTAGCTACTGGAAGTTCCATATGGACTTAGGTGGGGTCACTTTCAAAGAGGCACAAAGGGAAAAAGAATCCTCAAATAATAAAAAAAAAATCACTTTGGCCTTCAACTCAGGGAAATGAAACAGATGTTAGCAGTATTTCGGGAATCCTCTGTCAAGTTAAACAATGTTGATGGAATGCTGTGTGCAGCTATGATTCAATTTAAGAGGTTTTTAATTGGATTACTTCAAAGATACGTTTAGACAAGAGCTACGCAAACAGCTGAGTCAGCACAACTGATTTATGGCAGTGCCATAAATCAGGTCTACTGCCAAGAGAGTAATAAGCCTATTTTAATATAGTCATAGGTTAAAACAATAAATCTAAGCCGCACATTAACTTTTGGCAAGGTTTAATACAAACAAAATTATTCTGGAGAAGACAAGAAAATGCTTAGAACCACCTGTTACTAGAACTTACCTGGTGAAGACTGGGCTGATGGGTGTTGAAGCCAGTCTTGGCTGAATGACATGTTTTTATCACAGAAATTTCTACACAGATAAAAGAATTCAACTGGCCTTTAAGTATTGCTTTATTCCTCCAAAGAGAGTAGAACTGTCACCAATTAGGAGTTTTTTTCAGATCAGTAATTTTTTTCTCCTCATGCATTTTCAAGATAGCTGGATAGCAAACTATGTGTCTAAAACAGAGTCTTAAGAAGTGCCACCTCAAACCCCAAGGTACACACACTGTTTTCTTCCCAACAGGACAGCTACAACCTCTGTTCAGTTTAGAGTGAGGACATTACAAAACTTAATCCAGAGATATGAGCTAAAAAGTATGAAGGAGTTGGGTCAATTTTCATTTACTAGGACTACAGGAACTAGACTTCATCCAGGCCATGGATGAAGACCCACACTTCTATCCCACACTTTCTCCCTGAGGACAGGATGGCTTGGGGTCCATCAGGGGAAAGACATCACACACTTGCAGATGAACAACAGTGAAATCTGTATGGGTCGAATTCAAGGGTAGACAGACAAGTGTGGCTTTAAGATACATAAAATTACTGCAGTTTTAAAACAAGGCAAGGGAGGTATGAATATCTCTGTGGAGAACATCAGTGGTAGAACAGCAGCACCTGTGTGTTAACCATCACAGCCAGATCAGGAATTAAGGCCTTGGAGACACATCAAGTAACTATGTTGGCAAGAGCTACGTTTCCAATAAGGTTTCCCAAAACATGAGACAATTCTCCATAGAGCCTCAGCAATACCATTATGCTGTTATGAACAGCAGAAGAATCAAGTGAATGCCTAAGTCTCATTCAAGCTGCAACATGCCTTTTAGAAAGGTGCTTAAATGCTCAAATGGCTCAATCTAATAAATAAATGTAAGCTGAGCATTGCCAGTGCTCTGTGCGTTAACACTGCTTCACAGTTAAAGTAAATATATTGGACCTGGGAATACCTACAGTACCACATTATCTCAAACCTTTGGTCACAGTCCCTTTATATTTTAAACACACACCGCTCCAGGATTTGCTAATAAAATTTAGCAAGAAAATGTGGGTGTGTCATCACTAGCATTTTCATCCAATAGCCAATCTCCAAGTAAATACAGCACACTTCAGAACTCGTTTGTACCTTTAAAGTAACATCAAGCTTTAACACAGGTAGGTGTCCATTAACACCTCACTGGAACAGATAAAAATGAAATAGAATACAGCTAAGATTAGGCTCCACTGCCAGTCAGATGAGTGTGCACCTTCAGAGCACACTTTTGGAGAGCTGGAATGCAATTGGGAAGAGTTTGTTTTCAGTTAAAATTAGTCTTCCGTAAATTCTTATTAGGGATTTCTACAGCACTGACTTGAAGAGGCCAGGACCCTGCAACAATTCCTGCTTGGATGGCTACACCCGTCACAACCGCCAGGTCAGGATCTACAGAGGTGTTGGGTTCCTTCCCAAAGAAGTCCCGAATAACTTTACGTATTTGGGGAATCCGCGTGGAGCCACCAACTAACACAATTTCATCCACTTCTCCTTTGTCTACGTGGCCATCCTGCAACACCTGCTCAATGGGCACAAGAATCTTCTCAAAAAGGTCTTCATTTAACATCTCAAACAGCTTCCGAGAGATTTCCATTTCAAACACAACTTCAACAAAGCCGTTCTCTGCTTCGGAAGCGTCTCCAAGGCTGTTCAGGTCTCTTGTTTTTTGTGAAGGCTCACCTTTTAGCGCACTGTTTGGTTTTACCTGACTTTTTGGAAGTTCTTTGGTAAGCCTGTTTTCTGGCAGAGTCAACACCACACTTAGTGTAGCTGCCTCATGAACAGTCAGATTTAATTTAACTGCTTCCACAGCCTGTCTGAGGCGGTGAATCTCTTCCTTTCGGGTTGGCAGAGAACCGTATGTTTGACGGAGGTGATCATACAAATACAGCATCAACCTCTGATTGAAATCCTGTCCTCCAAGTTTGTTGTTACCTGAAAGATCAGAACAGAAGGCATCAGACACATGACTTTCAAAGCAGCATGTATCTTCTTTACTGGGAGGTGGTGCTCAAGGATCAGAACAATCATGCAAGCACAAGAGCTCACAGAGCTGTGAAAACAGACAAAATTGTTGTCCCCTGAAGAACAAATGATGGATAATAATTTCCATTGCTTTTTTAACTGAGAACAGGAATTTACTCAGTGGACCTCTGTCTAAATAAATTGGAATGAAGCTGCTGAATCTTCCTTGTTGTTCCACTCTTACAGCAGCTCACATCAAAACTTGCTCATCAAGGTTGGCACTGCACCTCAGACCTGTCTGCACCCAAGTCATCTGAAAGGCAGTCGTGCACTCACTACAGTCTGACTAAATATTGCTGCCACTTGCCTCTGTGCCGAGTGATGAATCATCCTGGCACACAGGAATCACAAAACTTACTTCTGGGCATGGGCATTCCCAAAACCCGCTCCACTGAGCTGGCACCAAACACAAAGCCGGGATGCTTTTCAGCCCCGGTCAATGATTTGCCAAGTATTCCCAGTTTGGAAAAAAGTAACAGGAAGATTTGTAACAACCCTAGCCCTGCAAAAGCCCAGCCAAAGTAACTGTAACATGCACCAGCACTTTACTAGTGGGCATAAAAGTTGACAGCCACGGATAAAATGAAACCACGACTTACCCCTTGAGTCAGCCAAAACCTTCGACTGTGATCTTACTCACTGAAATCAGTCACAAACCTAATTCTGCATGAAAAGCAGCAGAGAATGCATTGGGAGAACATTTTGTGACACAACTGGTAGGTTTTAGAAAGCTCCTCCAATGGCAACTTCATATGCACCTTTCCTCCCACTCCTTCAGAAACAAAAGCATTTTTCTCACCTGCCATGGCTCGTGTGTAGAACATCCCTCCCATCTTGTTCAACAGAGACACATCCAAAGTTCCTCCGCCCAAATCCACCACCAGAACATTAAACACATCAACTTTGTGGAGTCCATAAGCCATAGCTGCAGCTGTGGGCTCACTGATTACTCGCAAAACCCTCAGTCCTGCAAAGAGCAGAAACAAGAAGCAACAGTCAGGTACACTTCAGAAAACTGCAGTTCTCACATCAGAATGACATTTGCCATTACTTTGTTTTTTTTTTAAACCAGATTCATTTTAAGTAAAATGTCAGATCTAAGGGAAGTAGTTTTCTGAGGGGTGATACCCAATGAACTCCTTTCCTTAGTTAATCCTAAAGTAGTTCTGCTTCAGCATCAGGGCAAAGTCATGAACCACCATTTGCCCAAACACATTTCTTCTGGACAAACCTTGCTAAGGAGTCTTAACTTCATACATTCTGTTTCTGTTATTGCCCAAGGGTGCTCTATACAGTCTCCCTATTTGGAGATTACCAAAAACTCTCTTTTCCCCAAAGCAAAACTTCCTTCTTCCAGACACCTATGTCTGCATTATCCAGTTGCACCTGCTGGGACTTGGAGACTGAATCCATTCTAAGCTTCTCTATCACTGATTCACTGTTTCTGTATCCTCCCCAAAGACCTTGCTGTTAGTGAAACAGACCTGAAGGTTTCCTAGAAAAACACTGGAATACATCACCTGCAAGGTTAGCTGCCTTAACGGTAGCATTCCGTTGCCTTTCATCAAACTCTGCTGGCACAGACATGACTGCCTTGGAAACAGGCATGCCAAGGTTGGCTTCTGCCATTCTCTTCAGTTTCAGCAGCAGCTGGGAGCCAATCTGCTCTGGAGTGACGTGAAAGGTTCCATTAGTTGTCACGGAAAATTCGGCTGATCCGTTGTTGTTGAAAATCTAGAAGGACAAAGCAACACAAGCCACAGTAAGAAGTCATTTTCCCACTCTGCTCCCACCACATTTTATCTGCACACAGTGTCTTTAATCTGCAAAAATACAAATGTGCTTTTGCCACTGCCTAGATCACATTAATTTCTTGGAGGATTATAGAAAACATGCCACTTAAGGGGTCCAAGTATATCCAAACAAGTGACACCCACTGAACCCCAGTAAGACACATCAAAAGAAGTTAAGACCTAGCAACTGTGTAATCCATTTCAACACCACAAAGACAAAAGTGATGCTTTTTAATCATTAGGTTACCCTACTGATAAAGCTTCCCACCACTTCTTCTTTCTGAAAGGAAGCAAACAGCTTGGTACTGGAACAGCTTCTCTTAACAAGTAAAGAATTCAGAAACTATTTGCAGTACCTGAAAATTGGTCTGTTTTCAGCAAATTCTGCACCAGGTTCAATTAATGTAATACTTTTTTTTTAGTAAAAAGCAGCTTTCAAGACATGCTGCTGGTCAAGTAAGCACTAGAAAAGTGGTAGACGAAAAAAATGCACTGTGGAAGAGATGTGACTTTTAAACTTCTATTTAATCTTTTTTTTAGAATTTGAGGGGAGAAGTGAAGTTTCAGCAAAGTACAGTTAGCATTTCAAGTTGAAATTTATCCTTCCAGAGAAGGGGCTGGAAGGTTACCCAGACACACATTTCCTCGTAGAAAAAAACAGGGTTTTATGGAAAAATCACTGTCAGCTCTTGTGCAGAGGTACATGACTTCCACAACCATTTCCTTCCCCTCTCTGGATATCTCTCATGGTTTTCAGGGAGATTTAGCCAAATGACTCAAGGTCTGACAAGCTGATCACCCGTACAAATTTCAAGTGTCACAGAATCACAGAATGGCCTGGGTTGGAAGGGACCTTAAAGCTCATCTCATTCCAACCCCCTGCCATGGACAGGGACACCTTCCACTAGACCAGGTTGCTCAGAGCTCCATCCAACCTGGCCTTGAACACTTCCAGGGATGGGACAGCCACACCTTCTTTGGGCAACCTGTTCCAGTGCCTCACCACCCTCACAAAAAAAAGAATTTCTTCCCAATATCTCATCTAAACCTGCTCTTTTCCATTTTGAAGTCATTCTCCCCTGTCCTGTCACTACGTGCCCTTGTAAATAGTCTCTACCTTCCTTGAAGGCTCCCTTCAGCTACTGGAAGACCACAATTTGGTCACCCCAAAACTTTCTCTTTTCCAGGCTGAACAATCCCAATTCTCTCAGCCTTTCCTCATAGCAGAGGGGCTCCAAACCTCTTATCAACTTGGTGCCTCCTCTGGACTCGCTCCAACAGGTCCATGTCCTTCCTGTGCTGGGGACCCCAGGGCTGGAGGCAGCACTGCAGGTGGGGTCTCAGCAGAGCAGAGCAGAGGGGCAGAATCCCCTCCCTCCCCTGCTGCCCACACTGCTTTGGATGCAGCCCAGGACACGAGGGGGGTTCTGGGCTCCCTGTGGACATGGCTGGGTCATATCCAGCCTCTCACCCACCAGCACTCCCAAGTCCTTCTCAGCAGGACTGCTCATCCCCCAGCCTGGACTGTGTCCTACAGCTTCCTGCCTGGAGGGAACTGAAGATGCTGCTTACCTTAAAGGGATACCTGCTGCTTTCATTTTTCAGTTCTTCCAAAGTGAAGATTTTCCCAATGAATCTCTTGGCATCATATATGGTGTTCTGAGGGTTGGCATCAGCCAGTTCCAGGGCATCATATCCCACATACACCCCTCTGTCCGTGAAGGAGACCACACTTGGGATGCTTTTGTGCCCGTTCTCATCTGCAATGACCTTCACCTCTCCTATTCCAGGCAGGAAGACACCGACGGAGCAGTAAGTGGTGCCGAGGTCGATCCCAAGGACTCTGGGGGTGGGCATGGGCAAGTACTGCTGTGCCAGGTAGCTGGCCAACAGGAGAGCCAGAACAGCAGAGCCTGAAACACAGAGTGGTGAAAAACAGGGTTGGAGGATCTACTGCTGCAAACCTGTCACAAATGGCACAGTGTCACACTCTGCACCTCCTGCAGTTTTATTTCACACACTGGAGCCTGTTCAGCTCCCTAATTAGATTTTAATTTCTTCAAAGGTCACCAGCAAATTCAGGTCTCTTAAATGAACAGAGAGTGGCTGTCAAAAATCTCAGCCATTAAATACTAAACTGATGAAAAAAAGAAAGCCCAAGAGAGATGGCAAACCCAAAAATATCACCACACTGTAATAATTCCTTTCCTCTCTTACTTCAATAACACAGGCTAGTTCATATTTCGGGGAGAGTGCCTTTGAATGACCCCAAAAGGACACAGAATTAATGGGGTTGCACAAAATCCCAGTGAAACAACAAACTCCCAATTCAAACACCTCCTCCAGCTTCACTGAAGTCTGAAAATAAGGAGATACAAACCCCTGCTGACTCATTCTGTTTCTGCCAGAGCTCCCAAAAAGCATCTTTTCTATGCCTTTAAATCAAGGGTTAGACTTAAGTGCAGAGTAGTTTGCTGTTTGACTAGTTTTGCCTTTAATTTTATTTATAATCATCAGGCACAACAGGAAACCCAAAAGTCAAGCATAAAGTAATGCCTCGGGGAAGGGGAAAATAAAAAGCACCAACAAACAAAGTCTGGAGAAGAAATTTAAACAGGTTAAATTTCAAAACGTGGCTGAGCACTTTTTTTCCCAGCAGGGAAGAGCTGTCACAGCTGTGCTTCAAACAGACCGGTCAGAAAGTCCTGGTTTGGTCTGGGCTGTTAATTTCTTAGCCATGCACCACTGAGGGCTCTGGCTGAAACAGAATCCCAGAACGGGTCAGGCTGGAAGGGACCACAGTGGGTCACCTGGTCCAACCTCCCTGCTCAGCAGGGTCATCCCAGAGCACACGGTGATCTGTTCCCGTGCTCGGGTGGACCCTCCCGCGCATCAGTTTCTCCCGTTGCCTCTTGTCCTATCGCTCGGCATCACCGAGCAGAGCCTGGTCCTTCCCCTGACACCTCCCTGCAGACACTGACAGACCTTGGTGAGGTCCCCTCTCAGTCGTCTCTTCTCCAGGCTGAACAGAGACAGCTCCCTCAGTCTTTCCTCCTAGAAGTGATGCTCCAGTCCCTTAATCATCTTTGTCCTCTCCGCTGGACCCGCTCTGTGTCCCTCCCGTACTGAGGAGCCCAGAACTGGACGCAAGGGAACGCACCGAGCACAGGAAACTCGCACCACCCTGGAGAGACAGCCTGGGGCAATACCGCCGGCAAAGAGACGCGAGAGCCCCAGCGAATCCCCCCACGAAAGCCCCCTAAACGCGTCCCAGCCGTGCCGCCGCCTCACCCAGTACCGCCATCTGCCCCGCCATGACTGCCGGCAGCTGCTGACGGCTTTTTCCGGCCCGCGCGGGGCACGCTGGGATCGGTAGTACGCGCGCCCCGCCAGCCCTTTTCACGTCGTTCTACTACGGGACGAGTGAACCACAACCCCCAGCAGGCGTCGCGGCGCCGCCGGTTCCGGCGGGTACCGGCCAATAGGCGTCACCCATTAGGAGGGGAGGGGCGGGCGGCCGGAGAGGCAGTGCATGCGCATCTCCGGGCGGGGCGGTCGCTGTGGCTGCTGGGAGTGGTAGTTCCTCCTCCGGCCGGCGAGTGGCGGCAGAGACCGCGGATGTGGCGGTGCCGAGTGAGGGCAGCAGCCCGTTAATAAACACAGCCAAAAAAGTTGTTATATTCCTGACTGAAAAGGGGAGATTCGCTCAGTCACTTTGTGTCTGATCAGTCTGTGAGTGCGCCAGGCAAGACGAGGCCCTTTGCCCGACCAGTCCGTCCCACCCTCTTCACTGGATCAGCGGCGCTTCCACTGAATTACCAAGGGTCACACAAACAGAGAGACCCCGCCCGGGTTTCCACACTTTACCCACTGCCAGCACCGTTATAGGACTCACGTTAACAGTGTACACAATAACTCTGTTAATGTGATAATGACAGGTTAAGGTTCAAGCACTGCCGGTGACGGTATCTGACTGCAAAAACGTATTCAAGACAATATACTATGACGGCAAAAACGTATTCAAGACAATATACTATGACGGCAAAAACGTATTCAAGACAATATACCAATTCAAGGCAATATACAGACAAGCCACCCTAATAAAATCTCTAATAAAAATTAGCATGAGATAATCATTCAGCGCACACAGAGCACAGTTCTTACCCAATAGGTGTCCCTATGAGGGAGAAGAGAGGTTCAGCTCTCCGACTGATCCCAGAAGTTGTGATGCAGTCTTCCCTAACTTCTCCCCATTCTTAACTTACTTTTATACTATGTCTTTACGTTTAGGTGGAGGTTGAGTGACTTTAGCCATGCATACTCAGTCAGAAGTGGTTGTACATTGGGGATGGATATCTCAGTACCTGAGATACCCTTGCGATGGGCACGTGTCAGTCCAAGGAGAGGGATTTTGCCACAGTTGCTGGCTCAACGGCAGGACATCTTCCTTTATTTCCCTTGGTTTTCAGCTGCTGTGCAGCTGATCAGCTAGAAAGTTCCCTCCTTTGCAAGGGTTTTGACAGAGCCTGGCTGTGCTGTCTCCACTCCACTCCACCCTCCAATTAATCCCCCTTGGTTCATATTGCGTGTGGGAGGTCGGGTGGGCTGACTGCGCTCCAGCCAGGGAGTAGCAAATATATTTTCCCTTATGGTTTCCAAATCATTATCTTTTTAGCCCCAGTCATGTTCCCATGGTGACATTCCTATTTCAGAGCTCAGGCCAGGTGGGCATCTGCCATGTCAGTTCAGGGGCAGTCACTGGGTCTGGCTGCTGCACACTGAGGGTGATGTGGAAAAGCCCTGGGTGCTGTGTCTGTGGACAAGGAAACCCCTGCTCCGGGACCTGACCTTTACTCCCAGTGCCTGTCTCAGGACCTGGGAAGGGCTTTTAATCCAACATGTTAAGCAGTGGCAGAGCACTTGTGTTTCATCTGCTCCTGTTTCCAATGTAGGGACTCTCTAAAT